GTGGAATGGCACAAGGATATTGCTAAAATTATAAGTATACTAACTCAATTTGACTTTAAATACAAGATTTATATACTAGATACTTAGTACTTAGTAGTAAAATAATTATAAAATTATTTAAAACAAATAAAATGACTGTAACGTCACATAGAATTATCGATTATAAATTATAATAAATAATAATATTTGAAACAAATTAGACAAGTTTGATATATTATCTTCCAAAATAACATTTTCAACATCTGACTACGAGTTAGATCCTTACAAATTACTTTGACTCGAGTATTGTATTCTAAATTGATCTTAAGTAATTTTGGAAATATAGGTCAGGGATAGTTTTCAGATTTACAAAAAATATAATTTTAACTTTAACATAAATAAATAAAAAATGTAGAATTGAATGAATATATAATTATGATAAAAGTGTTCTATACTGTCTAAAAACTCTGACACATAATCCCTAATATATAAATGTTTTGAATTTTATTTTAATATTTTTAATATAATATGATTTAAATATATAATAGTTTGTCATTAAGGGATTTTATTAACAATTAAAAAAATAAAATACAGTTATTGTCTTAGTAAAATCCTACTGTTTATAATAATTAATAATTTTAATTTTAGTTGTGTTTAACAAATATAAAACATTAATACATCTATTATTAACTGACTAATATATTATATGGCTTATAACAAATTTGTATATGCAACAGAAATATATTCCTTAATATTTTAAGCTAGCTAGTAACTACTGTAGACAGTCCGGCTCGATGGTTTTCTGGGCCCCATGTATATTAATTATTTATAAATATTTATATTTATTTTTTTTTTAGGAACTTACTATATTTTTATATATTTTTGTACCGTCATCGATGATAAACAATTTTACAAATGCATACGTGTAATTGTATAGCTATTATATATAATTTGTGTACTACTGAGACAATATTATTATGTTTATTAATAGATTAAAGTGGTATTCGTAATACATAATTTGTGGAGCCCCTCACAAGCGCGAGGCACTAACTGTAGATATGTATTTAGAGTTGTCTCGTGCTAATAAATTTACATCTATAAATAACGCTGTTAATTATTTTGTTATAAATTAATTTAACATAATAACATATTTCAGTGTTTATGAATTTTAATAACTAATCTAGAAAATATATAGAGCATCTTTGGGTAGCAAATTCATACCCTTGCTATACATAAATTGAATAATAGTAAAATTTGTCAATTCAAAGCATTTGAAAAGATTTCAAACAAATAATTCATATTTTCTTAGTCGTTATGTAATGTTTAAATTAAATATGAAATCTATTGATGAATGAATTGATTTAATAAACAAACAATATTTCCACAAAATTTTAAAACTGAAATTTAAGTGATTACAATACTTATTTTTTTAAATTGTTGTATGTTGATAAATTGTTTATTTCATTTTCTGTACAGTTAATTATTAACATGATAATGACAGTGTTCCATAAAAAAAAAAAAATAATAATAAGATAGTAACAAAATTTTTGATGATGAAATTTGAATGTAATGATATGTATAAATCCAAAATTGCCCATTTTATAAGTTACATGAAGTGTTATATATGATATTGACATAATATTACTATTTTATAAATTATTATAATTATAATTCATCACAATATAACATAGTAAATGCTAAAAAGAATATCTACTTCAGAGTACAAAATATAAAAATGGATCACATCATTAAAAAAAAGGATACTCCAGAAACATAAGTTTAAATACTTGAAAAAATAAATGCATATTGTACTGATTAAAATATTTATTTTAAAGTTTATTACTTATTTAATATGTCTTACTTTAAAAAAATATTATTTGTGGTTGCATACTTTTAAATACTTTTAATTTATTTATTAACTTTATTTACATAAATTATTACAAACTCATTTTGACAGAAAAATATTATACAAGAATAGTTGACAAAAATAATTTTGTAAGTGAATCAAGCAAGTATAGAAATATTTAACTATAGATTAAATTTTTTTTTTTTTTTGTACACAGTCATGTAATAATATATAATTTATAAATATATATCATATATGTATATACTATATATACTCATAATTGAAAAAAATATTAATATTAAAATTTACATTTTTTTTTTTTAGCAAACTGTATGTTTTGTTTATTTATTTTGTTTAATTGAATTTTGAACCTATTGGCTGTTCATGAAAATATGTTGCAACCATTAAAATAAATAAAAATTATCTATTTGATGAATTATTTGTCATACTATTAGGCAACATAGTTATTAGAATAAAAATATTTTAGGCAAAAAATTCAACACAAATACAATACACTTAATAATCGTATATTATTCCTATTCATAATAAAGTAAATTAACAATATCATTATAGTAGCATAAACAGAATGAGAATCAATATATTTATGTACAGTTTATTTTTAACCTAAATAAATGCTTAATTTTTAGTATCTAGTAGGTATTTTTATAAAACTAAATAAAAAAAAAAAACATCATATATATTTTTATTATATAACATCAAATATCTTATTTATATCAGATGAAAAAAAAAAAAATAATAATCAACAAATAAAATTTATATTTAACATTTTCTTTTGAAAATAATTAGTTAAGTATGTGGGTACAGTGGAATTTATAAATGATATATTGTTAATAAAGTAACACAAGGACATAATATTGAAGAAAATGATAAACAATATCACTATATCCTATATTAGTTTTTAATATATAATTGTTAACTTAAACTTTTTAAATTTAGGATACGTTAAATAATCAAAAAAAGAAAAAAAAAAGTAAATAAATAAATAAAATAAAACAAAAACTTAACAAAAGTGTTATAAATATGGGGTACTTAATATCAGTTTGAATTATCTCTTTGTTATGATGCACTCATTACAAATAAAAAATATAGTAATCTTTAGAGGGATATTACAAAAAAATAAAATATTGATATTATGTCAACTTTGTTTGGATGTTTTAAATAATTTACACCTGAGTATGGTTGCAAATACTTCAAAACATTTTCATACAGAACACGGATATTACACAAAAATAAATTAATTAAAAATTATATAAAGGTAGTAAAATGGGTTTTAACATAACTGTGTTTAGATTTACCATTAGAAATTTAAAAAATTCAAAAAAATTCAAAAAAAAAAAAAACAAACAAAAACAAAAAGAATATAGTAAGATAATACAGTTCTATCACCAAAACAATGGTGCAAATTAAAGTTAATTTTTTAATGTTCGGACAGTTCATAACAGATCATTTGATTTAAATATACTTATACAGTTATATTAACTTCATAACTGGTTAGTACTTAAATGATAATTGATTGTTGGTAAATATTACTCAATATTTATAACATTAGAGACATGTCAAAAGTAATATTAAATCTTAAATATATATTTAATATATATCTGTATATATTATACTGATATAGGCCAATAAGTTTTCATATTTACATATTTTTTTTTATATATCATTGATCCAAGTTTTAGATTTCAATCACTAAAATAGGGAGAAGCTGATAGTCTACTTTGAATACTTGTATAATATATGGAATTATTCATAATAATATCTAAGAAAGTCATCGTAATTTGTTTGATTTTGTTGAACAGGTATAGTAGTAGAGAAGAAGGGTGCATTTTTTTAAACTATAATAAATCTATTTTACAATAATATACATACATTTTAAAGAATAATTTTATTGAAATTAATTTTTGAGCTTTAGAGAAGAAACGAGAACATTTCCAAATACTCTACATTATCACAAAACTGACAAAATCTATAATTATAGTCTTGTACACCACACAAGTTTGAATTAAGCTCTTAACTTATAAATGTTTTTAATTATAACCAATTAATCTTTAATAAAAAATATATATATTATCAAATTTATTAAAAAAAAAAATTTGGAAAATTTGAGATTGACAACTTTAAAATTAAATATAATTGTATTAGTAACAAGTCATATAAAACATGGCGTCTTTGTTTTATTAATTATTAGAATAATATTTAAAGACAAAAGTAAAACAAATATAATTATATATACTTTAATAATAAGTTATCATAAATTTTAATACATAACAATATCAATAAGTAAGGACATCTGAATAAATATTTTTATCATTGGAATTATACAAAATGCTTTGATTAAATGTTTAATAATTAATATGCTATACTTAAACAAGGCAACTTTTATTTAATATTTTAGGTATTTACATACAGAAAACCGAACTAAATTAGTTTAATAAGAACTAGCTTTCTAGAAAATTTTATCTTAATGATGTATTACTTAACTTTTTTTTTTAAACTTTGTTTATTATTATTATTTTTACTTTATAATATATTTTTATGAGTTATAATTCTTATCATAAATAATAAAATAAGATCAGTTATGTAAAATGTTTGTATAATTAATGAGAAATTGTTTGATTTGTATTTATGGTTACTATCTACTATCAATAATATTTAAACTTAGAACTTTAAAAATACATAACAGATGTTTGAAAATTACCTTATAAGTACACATGGTAATCTTTAGGGTGGGAGTAAAATCTATATACATTTTATTTTAAATTTATGATTAAATAAACTAATTAAACATGAGGTTTAAAGTAATTGTAATGTAATATATGTAATTTTAATTTTAATGGGTTTTGTGTAATTGGAATTTTTATGGTCAATGAAAGTGAACAATTAAACAAGTTATGATTTAGTATTTATCCGTAATGTTTGTCAATACTTCAGTTTCAAAAAAGTCAACTTATACATATATATAACAATATAATTAGGACTGGAAATTGGAAAAAAATAAAAATTAAACAAAGTCAATATAGGCAATAAGTCAGTTGAAAAAAATAATAATAAATTTTAGTCTAAACATTTCACAAATTTACGAAAAATATCTGAATAAAATTTAGTTTGTGTTACAGTTTAACATAATATTTTTAGTATCATACTTTGAGCTTTATTATCGAATAAGACACGTTACACAAAGTTTAGAAGGACCAATGCAATCGTCATGACAAAATGCCCCGCATTTTTTACATACTACCATAGCATTAAGACTACAAGAGCAATCATTAGTAGTTTGTTGTGACTGACCATAGGTAGATACTTGTATACCTACACTTGCTGGTCTTCCACCATTTAATATTGGAGCTATTTTGTTATTGGTCGGAGGAGCACTAGATGATCGGCGTATGCCTGTTATTCCACCTGACCTCTGAACCAACAGGTACTGTCCCATTTGTTTTTCGGTTAGTTGCTGTTGCTATAAAATTATAATGAATACAACATTGATTTCATAGAATAATTTTCTTAACAAAATATATTGAAAAAGGTTCTTTTTTTTTTTTGTAATTAAAAATGAAGGATACAAATAATATTACATTTCAAATTAATTATAAAATCTAAAATATTATTGAAAACAAAAAATGATTATAGAAGAAAAAGTTATCAAAATATACATGATTCGTTTTTTATAGCTGAGTAATTATCTTTTGAGTTTTAATTAGAATGCAGAAATATTATTTTAACAGAATTGAGAAGCATTAAATAACAATTTATTAAAAACAATATGGTAATTAACAAGTATATTACTTACATCAGATGCATATGGTGGTCCAACAGACATTGTTACTGGAATGCCACGAGAAGATGTAAACACATGTCTAACAACCAGAGGTTGTGAACTGTTTGTGATGTTTATGTTTCTTACTGGTTTTGGTCCATTTCGTATACTATTATTAAATTTAATTGATTATTTAATCAATTCTCAATAATTTGATATTTATAATTAAAATATTGTTTTACTTACAAAGAACTCTTGCCAATTAATACTGAAGGTGGAGGTTTTAGTTGACATCGAAGTTGATTACGATTAGGGCTATTCTGTATAACAGCTTGACATATTTGGTAACTTCTTTCTAAATTAATAGCACCAGGTGGTTGCTTTAATGTTGATCTACTATTAGTTCTACTTGTTGTACAACTACTTGAGCTCACCTTAAAAATACAAGTAATTAAAGTTTCTGATACAATAAAATTAATACATCAATGAAATGGTAATGTAAAAATGTATATATCTTACTTGTGATTTGATTGATGACACATAAGTATGGTGAACTGGACGATCTGAAGGAGCTGCAGATGATATATTAGATATTGTGTTGATAAATGAAAAATCATTAGGAATATTAGACTCTAGAGGAGATTGAAGTAAAGGAGATATTGATAGAGATGGTGTACTGGGTAATGGTGAACTGTTAGAAGAAGTAATAACAAGAGGTTGAATAACACTAGGCAATCGAACTACCACAGGTGGAGAAATAGGTTTTGGAAGTTCTTGTATAACATTCATATCCACATTCATATTGCTATCATTTGGCTCGTTTGATGGAATTTGATTAGTCGTCGAGTTAACATCCTCTATTTTTGGAGTTAAAGTGACTGAAAATATATTTGCACACGTAAAACAGTTTATACATTTATAAACTTAATAATTTAAATTAAAATATACCTTCCAACTCCAATTGGACTTCACTTTCACTTTGTTCTTTTTCTTTTGAAGTAGAAACACTATCATATTCTGGAATTAATGTGCCCAGATCATCATTCATTAACGAAGACCAGTTTTTGATCACTGATGTTTCATCTAAATTAACATCATCGATTTTACCAACATCACTTAAAAATTCATCTTTCAGTGGAATATCTATTTCAATGTCTTCATCCTATATTGAAAAAAAAAATGAAGGTTCATTAAATTATTAAAATTATACAATTTAAATTTTCATAAATCTAAATTATTAATGCAAAATCATTTAAAAAACAGGTCTACATTTTTTTTTTTTTTACATATTTTAACATTTTATTTCAAATAAATAATATTCTGAAATTAATTAATTGCCAATCTTAGATACAGAAAATAAAATACCGTGATTATTGACATAATTTAGTTTGTTTTAGTTTCATAACATTGAAATAAAAAAATAAAATATTCTTTTTAAATCAGTATTATCATGCTAAATCATCAATATTTATAAAGGATATATATGTAATAAATAGACTATTTACTTTTGGTAAAACCATAGCCTCTACTAATGGTTTTATGGTAGAATCAGTCGTGGAATCAACAGAATCCCATGGTAAATCTAAATTTTTATCTTCACTTTTAATGTCATCAGATGATGAACATGTAGTTGGTATTGTTGTTGTTGCTGTTGTTGTTGTAATTGTAGTTGTTGTCGTTGTTGTTGTTGTTGTCTCTTTTGTTGTTGTAATCGTATTTATTGTTACATCCTTGGTAACTGTAACAGCTGGTGGTGTGTTTACTGGAACAGTGATAGTTTCGGTTTTTTTATGCTTAGGATTACGCCAGTCAGAAACAGCAGCATTTGAACTTGAAAGTCTATTTTCACCCCATATGGGTTCAAAATACTTAAGCTGAAATTAAAAACACAACATATTAACTAAAATTATATTAAACCCTACTACTTTAATAAAGTAAATTCTAAATTCGTAAATTATATGTAATTAATTATAATGTTATGTTATCATATATCTAACTTTAATATTGCATAATCAAAAATTAAAACAGTATACATTTTTCATAAATATTTTCAATTCATAATTTTTAGTTCATAATTAATAAATCAAATATTATATATTAAAATGTGCATAAAAATAGTAAAAAAATTAATCGACAATATATTTATAAAAAATACAGATCATATTATTGATTTAATACAATATAGCTATAATTTTAACTTTACATATATTCTTACTGCTTTAAATACCTCAGAATTTTAAAGTTTTAAATTCTCCTAAGATAAAAAAATTTGTTAAATTTATAACTTATATGAATGGTAAATGTTCTAGTGATTTCTATAAGAGAAATACAATAAAATAAAATTGTTACACATTCTCCATTAAATTTTGTGGAACAGATTAAACAAATAATAATAATAATAATAATCCTGTTTAAGTGTAACATAATTTCAAGAGCATGATTTTATAATTGAATATTTTTCAAAATATCATCTCAATAAGTTTTTGAAAATAACTTGCAAATATTCTCTGTACTCTCTATACTTTTAAAAATGGAAAAAATTGTTTTTAAACAAAAAATAATAAATTTTAACAAAATATTAAGCTTTAATATTTAAATTAAATCATGTTCTGTTTTGTTTATTTATCATTGGATGCATAGTTAATCACTGAAAGCTAGTTAATAGTTATAATTTGGTAAATACTTATAGCAGTGGTCGGCAATAGGCGGCCCACGAAGGAAAAATAATTGGACCACGAAAAATATTTATTATTTTTAATAATGCTGGTTTTCCGCACATAATATATATTTTTATCTATTTTATGATGTGGTTAGAGATTACGATGGTGTTTATCGTTTATTGCTATTTACAATAATAGTTGCGATAACACAACAATTATTAACTAATATCTGAGTTTTTAGTTTTTACTGGCCCTCGAAATATTTTTTTTTGATTTTCTAAACCTCCATAGAATTTAATTGCTGACTCCTGGTCTATAGGTACCTCAAAATTAAAATTAATAATGATTGAAAATTAAAATAAATTGGCATACTTTTCTCATAATTTACAAAATATTCCTAGATATTCTAAAGACACTTAATTTTCTTGAAATAGGTAAGCAATAAAAACCATTTTCTGTTAGCTATTTATTTAATGAATAGTTATTGTCTTTTACTCTCATTACATTGCATATACACAATGAAGATAATTTGATAAAATAGAACCTTCACACTAACAATAACATTCATAATATACTTTTAATTATTATTATTTAATGATTTACTTTGAATGGATCTAGTTTGCTTTTTTCACGATCAATGTCCATTTTCATTTTTTGTTGATTTTCAGGTGTAAATTCTCCTTCTGATAATCTATCAGTCCATTCAAGACAAGCTTGAGCAAAGAACTCATTATTTAAAACAGATGAGTTTAATAATGGCCTATAAAATAAAAATATTTTATTTTAAATCTATTCAGTTATTAGAAATATTTAACTTAAGTAGACAAACCTAAAATCAGATTGAGTATCATTTAAACTTTCTCGATCAACATGTGGTAACAATTGAATAAGTTTATGTTGATAAAGACGAGGGAGCATTGAAAAAGTTTGTTTATTCAAAAGTGATCTTAAATTGACTTGTGCAAGAACAGAATCTGGTGTTTCTAAATCAACACAACCTTCAGCCTTTGCTTGTTGCAATTGAGCAGCAGCTGACAATCGTTTAGATCCAGGACGTTTACGTGGTTTTACCAAACTAAATCCAGGAATAGATGATAAAACTTCTATCATTGTAGGTACTCTAGATTCGTCTTCAATAGCTGTAAAAACACAAGTAAATTTATTAAAAATAATCTGTCTTATAGACAATAATAATTTAAAGATTACAAATATAAGATTTATACGGTAAAATTTGACTTAATAAGATATCTTTTTCAACAAAGTGATTGAGTACTGGAAAAAAGATAGTATTTCTAGTGTATTTTGACCTATAAATAGAAGATTCTTACTATTACATGTATGGACAGCAATATTTTTCCCTACTACTTTGATAACAAACAACAATCTTAGTTCAAACTCATTTATAATTTCATATATTTATGCATACTATGGCGTAGACGCTACCAGCTGTGACAACAAAGCATATAATTACACGTCATAATACAGATTATGACTGAGTACCTACATAGATAATTTTAGAGAGCTAGACAATCTTATGTATGTATATCTGTGTATTTTATAAATATTAATATATTCAATAATATTATTTTATTTTTTTACCATAAAAATATAATATTTTCATTAAATAGATATGCATGTGGCTTAGAATATTATCACTGTCTAAGATTAAGACTCTGAAAAATCAAAATTGTAATACATTTATTGAGCAGATATCTGATAACATAGCCTTAAAAATGAATTTATAGAACAATTAACTCGAGCATAGCAAAAAATCCCTGAGATAATAATTGTAATTACCAAAGAGAAATTGATATGGTCCATATTTTATAGTATTTATAGTTTACTTCATGAAATGTATGACAATTAAATGAAATAAATTTTATTATAGTAATATATATAATCAGATATGCATATAATTTTGGTATTTTTTTATTAAAAAGCAACTAATTATTAAAATAAGAACATTTAATTTCTAATCTTTATAAAAAAAAAACCTTAATGATTTATTTGGATGTAATTATATACAAAAGTTGTGTTTTAATTAAATAAAACATATAATATTTAAGTTTAGAGCTCAATCAAATCCTCAAATCTCAGATTGCTCCAAGCTTAAGTTCATTTGTCTTTACCAAATAGTTTCAGTTCCATGGCACATGTAACACAAACAATATTCTTTACAAATACCTTAATATACAAACTTTCATTAACTAACTAGAAAAAGTCACTGTTTTTATTCCATTAAAAACCTCAAAATCAACAAAACTTTTTAATCAAATTTTTTTTCTCTTAAACTATTCTCAACAACCTGAAAAGGCGTCTTGAAAAATTCTGGCTTAGAAATCTACCTTAGATTTTACAATAAACCTGTTGGATAGTACTACTGGATGCCTCCTTCTTCATTCCAATATTTTTATTTTTACATAGCTTTCATTATAATTAACCAATGTACAAACTCTCGCAGATCTAGACTTTACTTGAATAAAAATAATTAACTAAAAACAGGCTAGCTATCGTGGAGAGAAAATTATTCAGAAGGATTTACAGATAAAAAAGAAACAAAGATTAAGCATGCAAAATTAGGTCTAACGAGTAATTACAGAAATGATTCAGAAATCAAATGTAATATAAGAAATATGACACAAAAGACTAAGTTGGTTTAAAAAAAACAAGAAGAAACTAAGACAAATAGGGACAGACAATGTTAATGAAGTAGCTTTGGATGGAAACAGATGGAAAGAAGATGAAACACTAAAGCAAGGAAATAAATAAGAGTGATTCTTAAATAAAGTTGATAAGTGTTATCTATAATTATACAATTAGCATATTAATTTTCAAGGTAAACAATAATTATATTCTCATTATTGACGTATACACGACATTCCGTTCAGTTATTCTAACCAAATGTAAAATATAACAGAAAATAATCAATAAAATGTTAATAATATTTTATAATCTGAAATCTTTGACGTTAGTGTAGTATTTACTTCTGAAAAGTTTAAGTACTGAGATAAATAATTGATACATATGTCATATTAAATTAATATATAATACCCTGAATTAAAGAGAAAGTTTAGAGATTAAAAGATACAAGATAGCAATTGTACAATTGCATATCAATAATCTAACTTAATTTAAAAAAATGGTTGAAGAATGTTCCAAAAGTACAGATAAGCAAAAGTTTTATCAAAATTTAGTATCTGATTGAATTTTACGCGAAACAGAAATGGAATACAGAATTAATATTATAATTGTTATATATCAGCAATAATGATATATTGTTAGTTGTGCAGTAATTAGATTTGTCAGAATAAAGCATTGTTTTTTTATTTTTTTATTTGAAGGCGTAAGTGATATCTTTGTCTTAAAATACATGTTATATATCAAATCTAAGTACTATATTCTTATATCAAAATAATTTATTTGCTGTAGCTGTTAATATTCTCTAATGTAAAATTTATAATAAGTTATTTTTCTCTAATATTAAATATTAATAAGTTGTAATAAGAATTGAATATGTCAAATTAAATTTTATGTTTGTGTAAGATAGTGACCCATTCTGTTCCTCTTAATCATGATTAACAGTAGCCTTTATAAACATAAGAATAGTTAACATATCCTTTATAACATTTGATAGTAGTAAAAATAACAAGTTCTATATAAAAAAATCGAATATATTATCATACTTAAGAATCAATAAAATTAAATGATTAGGACACATATGGAAAACCGAAGATGATGTACTAAAAAAATTACTAATTTAAACCATATACAAGAAAAAAAAAACCACTAGATAAATACTTAAATACGAGAAAATATGGAAAACATTTGGACAGTGAATAGAAATCTGTAAGTTAAATTGGTATTCAATAAGAAAAGCTAAAGAGAACTGCTTGTGGTAGCTCTGGACTTATAAAAGCCATTAAGTTAATAAATAAACATTTATGCTTTCTTTAAATACCCTACTGATTTTTTTTTCACATAATGAAAATTAACTTAGATTATAATATATCTTTAAATTAACTTTACAGATATTTATTTAAAAATATATCATTTTTATAGCACCACTAGACTATATTCACATTCAGGCCTAATTAACAAAATATTTTTATGATAAAGAAAATTCATAAATAGTTTAACTAGGAAAATTGAAAAAATATTGAGATACAAGGAGTGATACTACTGTCAAATAAGATAAGTGAACAAACTAATTAGTTTTGACATTATATTATATAAAATATTTAATACTTAGTCTGACTTATAAAAAGTATAAGTATGAATTAAATTATTATATTATATTTACTGTTTATCTGATTGGAGGGAAGTATAATTCTTGGAACAGGAGCAACATTTCCAGCTGCAATAGTAGTGTTTTTGCGTCTCCGTTTAGCTTGTTGCCGTAAAGCATGTTTCATTACTGTTTTTGAACCTGAACTCTTTGCATTAGCTCCTCTAGTTACTTTTGAAATGCTCCAAATATTATCATTTTCATTAGTTATCTTATCATTTTCTAAAAAAAATTATTTAAAAATTGTTAGTATCATACTAAATACAACTTACTATATTAAATATCAGAATTTCAGAAAAATAATAAACAATTAAATAATTGAACAGTATTCATAAAAATACTTTAATCCTTAAAATAGACTTCTATTTTTTATTTCATACCTTTAAGTTTTTGAAGTTTAACAGGAGTTAATGATGTATTAGAATTGCCGGAAGAAAGAATTGTCCTTTTTCTGTCCTCCATTTTATTCATTTCATAATATGATATATACCTAAAAAAAAAAAAAAACCATAAATATATTATTATTTCAATCAATACAAATTATTTTTGTTAAATTTATATGGATACTAAAATATATGATAACATAAATAGGTAACAGTAAAAACTTGTTATTTTAAAAAATAATAAATAAAACTATAATGTTTTGTTTTACTTCTTTTTCCCTATATATTTTTAGTTAAAAACAGCATCATAAACCAAAAGTTCCACAAATAAACAGTGATTAAAAGATAATATAAGATAAAAAAATTAATATAAATGCAATAATTTTATATCATTAAATTGTTAAAAAATATTAAGTTATTTTAAGTTATAACCTTTAATATGTTTAATATTTTTAGTTATTACTGGTATTAATGATTTTGAAATAAACCATACATATTATATCATAAATAATTAAAGGTTTTTTTGATTTAACTTAATTTAGTTAAGATAAATAGTATGTATATTGGAATATTTTATTTGATATGAACTGATCAATATACAAGAATAAAAGAAAGACTTAGTGACAGTCACAATAAGCCATTCAAATTTTTTAAAACAGATAAATATTATTTCCTGAGTTTAAATTGACCTTAAATTGAAATATTAAAAATACTAAAATCTAATTTTTAACTGCAGCAATAATATTGATTGTATTTATACATCTATTAGTATTATACATGCAATATAAAATATCATGACATTGATTATCATATAATAAATTAAGTATTGATATTTAATTTTTAAGTGATTAGAACAATAAATGTAAAATAAAGTATTAATATATATTAAGGTTGGAATTTTATAACAAATACAAATTTCTTATGATGCTTAAAAAATAGCAGAGTATGCTTAAAATGACTTTAATGATTCAAAGAACTAAAATTAAAAATTAATTTTGCATACATGGTGACTTTTAAATTTAAGAATTATTTTTGGATTTTTTGAATTTTACTTATTTTTTAATCAAAATTATAATATTTTGACAAACATATTTTTGAAATATTATCAATCAAATTTTCAAATAATTGTCAATAAAATTATTTTGATCGGTTAAAAGCTTAAAAATTGAATACAAGACTCTACATAAGTTGTTCTTGTGAATAAGTAAAATATTTATAAACTTTATTATTTTTAGTTATGGTTTATAAATTTAATACTAAGTTCCTTATGAATAGTACATAGTTCATATTGAAATCAAAAAATCTAGAAAATAAATATGCATAATTTTTGTTGTTGTAGACATTTTAAGTTTTAATTTGGACAAAATTATGTATTTAAACAAAGAATTAGTTATTTTGTAATAGTTCAAAAACATTATTCATACGAGCAATTTACCTTTAATGTATATTATTATATTTTATATATTCAATATTTTCAATAAAAATTAATTCAACCTACTGTATTATTAATAGTAAAATAAATTATTATACTCAATTGCAATAAAAAAAAAAAATAATAATAATAATAAAATAAATATATATCATTAAATATACTTAGTAATATACATAGAGCTGATAGATTACCTCGCTCAGAATAGTATCTATAATTTTAAAAAGGGGCTTAAATTTAAAAAAAACATATAATTTTTAAGTTTTTAGATATTTAAACATTATATCATTTTAATATTTTTAAATGTTATTTGTTTGTTTGACATTTTTTAACATTAAAAATACATAGAAATTGTAATTTTTTTTTCTTTCTAGAATCTATTGTCAATTGTTGCGTAATTAATCACACTATGGTATATAAAACTAAGAACTTTGAAATTTGTAGGATTTGTTGGTGAAGTTATTAAGTTATATTAAGTCATTGTCATAAACTTATAACTTATTTACCAAATCACACAAACCTAGTTTTGCGCCAATTAAAAAGAAAGTAAACATGATAATAATTAATTGAGTTAGAGAAATAAACTTATATATTATGTCAACACATTCAATATTTATAAATAAAACGGCATTAAAATATTTCAGAAAATATAAATCGTTGTAACTATAGATTAACCAACATTGAAAATAACATCAAAATATATAAGGTTTACCTAAATATTGAGTAGATATCATCATTTTCATCATATCAATATGATGTTTATGATGTTAGTAATAAATAATAATAATAATCTCACAATTATCATTTTAATTCATTTATTATCTCGACAATCTATTAAGAATATTTTTGAATAGTAAATGGATTTGATATTGATAATATTGATGTAAATGGATAGATTAAAAAATTATATTTTTGAATGAATTTTAAATAGATAAACAGATGATAAATTATTTCAAAAAAATGTTTAGCTTTTGTAAATTATCAATGCAACACTAAGCATTCCTTCAGAGAACTAATCTATATAGTATATATATATATATATACGTTATTATAATTGTTTTTTAGGTTTATAGATATAGAACTAAAAGCTTTCTTATAATAATTTAAGATTCATTGATTTAAGTTTTTGAAATAATTTTAGAAAAAAAAAATGTATTATTTAGTTATTTCTTAGTTCTGATTCTTGGTATATTAATATTCAATTAAGTACTTGACTGAAATTTAAAATTATTACTTTAGCCTTCGTTTTTAATTAAAATAACAACTCGATCACAACATTTAAAGTATAAAATGAATGTAATCTTTTGAACATAGTTACTCCACAAAATATGTAATTAATACAACTCGGTCAGATCATCTTAGCACTCAACAACCATAACAGTTAAAAAAAAAAAACAGAGGTTCAAAAACTATATTTTTTCAACATAATATGGTTTAAGAACTATTGGTTTCTTTTGAAATTGTAACAGTTGGCGAGTGCTAAGATGAACAGGACGGGTTATATAAGCAAATATATTAAACTACTCAGCTAAGAAAGGATGACGTAAATTCCTCAATGCCATTTTGAGAAAAAATTAATTTTCATAGATTTAGTAGCCCTATATTTACAGATATAATATCTTATAAATTCAATGAAATCTGCACTTTATATTTTTAACTACTTGTTCATCAAGATATTCTAATTTTAATATTTATGGTATTATAATAAAAAAATTATTAATTATTTAAAACAGTTCACTTAACAAAAACATTTTAGGTAATTTTGTTTTTTTTCCAAATTAGCAAAAATAGGTAATATTTTTAACTGAAACTTTGTATTTTTACAACAAAACATTATCGATGACTTAACTAAATATATAAGAAGCATTATAGCTACAGTTAAACGATAACCAGTTTCCTAAGCAATAAGATTATAAGTAATTATTAAATAAATGTACACTGAATTGAAAATTTAACATATTATGGTATTTTTCTTAGCAAATGATGATTACAGCATTTTTGTTGAACATTAATTATATAGGTACTTAATTCCAATTGAGGCAATCTTATTTGCTTATAATGGCAACTTTCAATATAAATAACCTGTTATTAATAAAATGGGGAAAAATTTGTATATTACATGAAAAAGAGTATATCTATTGTTTACTTTTTTCATATTACAGCATTTTTTTTATAGCAGGATAATACATGTATCAATAAAAAAGAAACAATAAAAAGGCTAATAATTCGATTAAATTTATTAAATACTGACACGAATAATAAAAAATTGATTAAGTAAGGTAGGTATCAATTTTAAAAAACATTGAGGATTCAAAATCAAATAAATCTAATTTGAATACAACATACACCATAGCCAACACTGAAGTTAATCAGACTACAACGAGATTATGAAAACTACCATGTCCACAATAAAACACCATTAGAAAACCGGACTTCTTAAGAAAAACAATATTGTTCACAGTACGCAGCAAAGACAAATATGTGAGAGGATAAAACAAGGCTACAATATTGTTATGGATACTGACCTTTTTTAAGCGATGTTTCTTGGCAATAATTAATCGTATGTACTCGTACAGAAATAAATAGCTGTAGTGTCGGAGAAGTATCGTCAGTGGCTCGTGGAGCAGTTGTTGAAGTGGGTGGTTTTCTAAAGGTTTCGATAGAGTGGTTAACTACGGTGCTCTAACGACGACCTGCTCGCGGGACAGACAGCGACAGAAACGTCTGGCCAAGCAAACAGACAACTACACACGTCGTCGACAATGAGACCGTCGTCATACGTATTCTTGGCGGCGACAGCGGTGTTCGTCGTCTTTACCTTCTTCTTCTTCCTCCTCCTCGTCGTCGTCGTCTTCGTCTCCTCGTTCGCGCCGGGTCCGTCGTTTACGCATTTCGTCGACAACCGTTTCCCGAACGCTGAACGCCGTGGGCGCAGTACAATAACAATCGCATATTACTGTCACCGGGCCGCGTCGTGATGAGACGATATCGACGAGAGCGAAAAAAATAAAAATGCAGAAGACCGCACGAAAACCGCCGACAAGAGAACACAGAAACCCAAATACACGACACTTTATCGATTTATAATAGTGTTACGCGGTACGCCGATCGTCCGACGCCGTGGCGACTACATGCGCGCGTAAATACACGTACGTTATCGTTAACGGACGCGTTGCCGTCTCGACGCTTCCTCGCCACCGAAGTACGCGACGCGTATAGCGTAATGTCGACTAATTAACACTGTACGAGATATTTCACAATATCGCCGTCGATGGAGGACCGTGCGTACGTGCGTGCGTGCGCGCGAGTTCACTGTGCGCGTATATATTATTGTGGTAATGTACACAGATGGTATTTATTATTTCAACAACAATAATGATAATAGTAAAAGTATATATGCGTTAATATTATAATGTACGATACTGTACGTTGTCGGATGTTTAAAAAAAAAAAAAAAATAGTAATAATAATAATAATAATAATATTATCTACGCGAGTTATCAGCGAACGGGCCAGTGGTCACAGACGGAATCGCGGCGGTGGTGGCGAGAACGTCGTAGCTGCGTACAACACAACCACTACGGATGCGGGCGGTGGGGGTAATCGTCCGTGCCGTCGGTGTTTGTGTGTTATTATTATTATTATTATTGTGAAATTCCGCCGTAGACGTGTGCGCAGCGCTCGACGTAACGACCGCTTCAGCGGCGGCGATGATAATAATAATATTATTATTGTATACTGTTGCGTGCGAAACTTGCGGCGGCGGCGATTGCGACCGAAACGATCCGAGCGGAGTCGGTTGGCGTTTTTTTTTTTCCTTCTTATATTATTATTATTTCGTATTACCTACTTCGTCTACTCGCCAATACAGTTAAACATATATACATATATATACACGCACACAGACATATATATATATATATATGATATAATGTATATAAGTATATAATGTATTACATATATGCGTTGAATTATATCACTATAATTTAATATACCTTTGGCACGACTTTTATTCGTATTTCGTTTTATTCTCTTCGTTATTATTATTATTATTCCTGGTAAAAATTTTCTGCCAGTTTTCCATTCGCGTAACGTTTAAATACGCAAACGGTCGCCGTACACATAAATAAATAATAATTTTAATATTGTCGCGGTCTTTTCGGCGGCGTGGCGACAAAAACCTATTGCCGCCATCCAGACGCGCCGTGAGCTCGTGACCTCCTCTGGTCCTCCTCCGCCGTCACCGCTACCGACACCGACGCTATGTGGAGGATTCGCGAGGAAACGTCGACGGATCGCATTGCGCTCAACCCGCTCCCCGCCACCGCGGCCGACACCCCAACCACCATCGCCGCCATTCGGTCGGACTGTTTGATTTTACCGTACCTACTTATCTATATAAAAATATTATGTTAATACTTATTTGAGTTATTATCATTGCACGACAGAATGGAAAAAAATTAAACGTACACCGTCGTACACTCGTATCTACTATCATACCGAACACCAGAGATCATAATAATATGATTCTATAATTTATTATTATTGTAGGTACCTACAATATGATGTAGATGAGCTATACGTGAGATCAAAATATTCCCAATATTTGTGAATTTTTCTGATAATTGCTACAGACTACGTACACACAATCGGGCGAAGAGCAATACTTCAATTAATAGACAATTATTTTATTATTTTAATAAACAGTTCCTAGTTAACAATTATAACGGTGGATTTTAATGATTGTTAACAATATTGCTATACGCGTTATCGGAAATGGCTGAGGTCGCTCGTCTTGATTCAATATTATGCCGTAATGTGTAATCATTTTACACCGCGCGCCGTAACACGTAAATTCAACACTTCTCGTTCACGAACTCAATTAAACCGAATATCGATCGGTCGAATTATTAAATTTCAACGCCTAACTGGCTGGTTCGTTCGCATAACCTAGTTTTATTCAAATACACGCACCTATGTAGGTGACTTTTATATTATATTTAAGTCTCAATAAAACCTTTTAGAATGAAAATTATTTTAAAGTCTACATAAGTCTACATATGAGTCTACGTTATTTATTTTATTTTGCATATGAAATCGGCTATTAAATCCTAACTTGTAATACTAAGCAATATATATATAAAATATTAAATACATAAATAAGTAAAAGAATAAATACCTATATAAATAAATTGGAGTTATAAATATAAATATAAATAACTATGATTATATATGTAAAATATGGTTAAGTAAGTTAAATATAAATATGAATAAGTATAAGTAATAAGTATGTTAATGAGTAATGACAAATAAATAAGTAAATTAGTTCACGTTTAAATATATTAATTGTGTTCTGTAAAATTTTTGAAAAATATTTGTACTGACTTAGAACTGTAACAAAATATTCTATAATTATGTTTAAAATATTTTTTTTTATATTTTGAAAAATTTGATTGAAATTATGTTTAATACTGTTTCTTAAAATAAAATAAAATAATTATTAATGGGATATATTGAGTTTAAGTATAATAAATATTTAAATATTTGATTCAGTTTTTACTTGTTCATAACAAATACATATAGGCTTTTGTGTAATAATTAAGTTTAATTTCTTTTATTAGCAAAATTGTGTATGAGTATATCATTGACATCTGGCAGGTTTAAAAACGAAAGCCTAAAATATTTATATTTTTAATATTTTCCAATTTCATAATTTTTATTTTTGTAGTTATTTTATAGGTAACTAGATCCATTGATTCAATTTTTCTAAAGCACGCTTGTCTAGTTGTCTCAAATGAAATTGATGAATGATGGTCAAACTTTATACACCGCAACGTGAATTTTCTTTACAAAATTAGTTACATAATTTTAAAACATAAATTAAGTTTTTGACATTCTAAAATGATTAATCGATTCATACATTATTGAATTTTTACCTAATAGTAAACAAAATATATACTAAAGGCGTAAGTAGTTATTATTTTTATTTCGTAGAGAATAAATAATGATTAAATTTATTGTATTAGGAGGTTTTTAATAATCCCTTCATTATAAATAGTGGTATACATAATCAAACATTTTAAATAGCATATAAAATATTATATATTATTGTCTCATCATTGATCAACAATTTTTTTATTTCTCTCATATAGGTAATTTCATTTAAAACAAAGTGTAGTACAAAACAACAAGTAAGTATTTAATAAAATGTTAAATTTGTAATTATTACTATCAAAATTCAATGGTACAAATAAAATCTAAAATTCCCGGCCTATAATAAATGTTTCATGTTAATATATTATTATTTTTATCTGAAAAAAAAATATGAACGATATCATGTAGTTGCTTACAGATGTCCATGTACGTTTTACAGTTAATGTTAAATTGTACTCAAGATAACTATATGCTTCAGTTAATATATTTTTTGTTTCCCAATCATGGACTCTATTGTTAATATTGTAATATTTTTCATTCAGACAAGACCATTTTTCTTCTTAAAAAAAGGTACATTCAATTTTTCACCACTTATTTTTGAACTAGAATCATATCTATTTTCCACTAAATATTATATTAGTTTTTAAATGCTAAAATTATTTGTTATAAATATTTTATGAATGAAATTATTATACAAATTAGTTAATTTGTATTCATATAGGTACCTAGTATCTATATAAGAGTATAGGCAGTATAGCACTCTATATAATACATAGGAACCTAATTAAAAAAATAACAATAATTTGATATTATAGTTGAAAATATTATTATAAAATAATATTTCACTACTTTATTTAATTTTAATTCATTTTGTATTTGATGTTTACCAATACTTAACAATAATTGAATAATATCAAACAATATTCTTAGCCAGAAAATGATAAGTAATAGGTATTTATTTAAATTAATAAGTGTACATAATGGTTAAAATTTGGTTTTTTTTTTTTGAAAATAATGAACAGTGGAGGAGTATGATATCCCACTTTGGAGGAAAATGGCTACAGCTTTCGTTTATACCAAGAATTCGATGGATTTGGATTAAAAAAGCATACACAAGAATAATTCTTATTACAATTATTGTATTAAGTATTAAAGTGACTTTAAATTTTTGCAGTTTAATCGGCGTCAGATAACATCAACAAAACGTGGTTAACATTATTCCCTTCAGGCTATAATATTATTTAAGCTGTCGCTTACAAATCGTGCTACAGTTTAATTACTGTTTTTTTTTTTTTTTTTTGAACTTTCAATACTAAAAGCAATGATTTGTGAAGCAAATCAACATTTATTTTTCAATAGTAAAATTCTCTTAAAATTTTCTTCGGGATCAATAATTTTATCAACATGAAAAAAAAATATACTAGTTACCAATACCATTTCTTGATGGTTATATAAGGTTTGTATGTAAAATAAAAAATAATGATAATTAATAATTCTTCCTCAATGTACTCATTAGGTAATTATTATGATATGTTTTCAAAAAATATTCGACATTTCTATTTTTTTTTAATCTGTGCATCTGTAATATTATATAAGGTAAAATTAATGTAAGACAGAGTTCTTTAAAAAAATTTAAATTGATTTCCAGTTGAAATAGATGTTAACTTTAAACATCACCAATGATAGGCCCATAGGTATTATATATTATAAAGTATCAGCTAGTCCTTTATGTTTAACGGAAAGGCTGAAACGCGTATAACATATGCACGAAAAGGTGCTTTTGTACTGATTGAAACACACTCAATTTACTGTTGCTTTTTTATTCACTACACCAAGTAAGTAAAAAATATAGTTTCTTACGTATTATACTATTATAGTTGTTATATTGTGACTAAAACATTTGACAATCACGTTTTGGGGTACGTCACTGCTGTAGGTAAGACTTTTTAAGTACAAGTACCCTACTATTAATACTAACTATATTTTTATAGAAATATTTTTTATATTAAAGAACTACATTGACGAGTGTTTTTAATATTTTAGAGATAATATTCATAATTATACATAAGCGCTGTTTACCTTAACCGTTTTGGCCAACTAGCACATGATTTAACAAAAACCTTGATTTTTATTATAAGTGTTTCCTAGACTTAAAAAACTATGTACATACATACATACATACATACATACATACATACGTACATACATACATACATACATACATACATACATACATACATATATACATACGTACATATCCTATTTCTTTATTATTGGTGAATTATAATTTATAAAAACTCTAATATAACTATTAACAAGCAACGACGACGATCCTATAATAATGTATAACTCTACAATCACATAGAGCTAATAATATTCATACAAGCTGATTATGTACAATCGACTATTATTATATAGCAGAGCAGCTACCTACTTGTCCAGCTTTTTAATTTATTAACAAAACTTAATATTTTTGATTTCTAATTTAAATTAATAATCATATATATTTTTTTAATTTAAACGCTTAAGTATTTGCAACAGTATATTAATTATTTTATTTGTAATTTTTAAACATATATTTAAGTAGTAAAAATGTAGTTTATCCTTTTTTAATCATAAATATGAAAAAAAAAACATGAAGGTACTTACAAAACCAAATCGTGGTCTACGTACAATTATGTATAATATATATTGATATCAAACATGCAAAAATCTTTGAAATATGTAATTATATGCAATTATAATACAATTTTTTTAATTGAATCATGTCAAATTTCTGTTACCTCTACTAATATTTAATTTTATTAAAGTATCAAAAACGAAATGTGCTGTCTGTTTTCAAAGGATTATGATACGCCGACTGCTCATAGAGGTTGATATACATTAAACACATGTGTATGATTATAGTATATAGTGATATAAAAACGGCGTCATAGTTAGAACAGACCGATTTAACATTTTACACAGTACGTGTGGTTGTCAAGTAATTTGTCAAACTCGGTATCGTTATATTGAAGTAATATCTTGTTATCAAATTTTAATGCTACACAGTATTTAATCGCAGAAAAATTTAAGCGCTGATTTATTTTATTGAAAATTATTAGTTACAATCTTTAATTTAAAATTAATATATAATTTTGCTACGAATGTAATCACGATAACTATTTTAGTAACTTATATAAGGGAATTAAGAGTTCCAATTTTTAATACCAGGTACTAGGGTAATGTTACTTGATTCCTTTTAAACTGACTTTTTTGAATAGAATTTTTTATAAAATGCTGTAACTATTTTGTAACCAAGAATATCCAAAATCCAAGGTTCCTGTCATTACTCAAATCTTCTAAAAATAGTTTTAAGTGTCGTCAACATTATTAACTCAATAACTCATGTCTGCCATTAGTGTATAAAATACTTATTATATAGTGTATTAATATTTATTATTTATAATTTATAATTGGCTTAACTAAATCTCATTTAGCCACTTAGGGGTTTCTTAGTTAAAATAATAAATATCGACTTAAAGACGTTTTTATTATAGGATGTGTATCAATATGACGACAGTTGAGTATATATTATTATGTAATTATCTATTATTTATTGTTTTTTTTCTGAAAATTTTCCCTTCGTCATTCTTAACTGATTAGTTTATGTCTTTATTCTACTGTTGCAGTGCTACATAAGTCTACAACTATATTATAGATTAAGTATTGTAAATTGTTCATTAACATCAAATTATTATAAAATATAAAATAGATCTATTTAAATATGATGAAAACAGTCTGATATGACCACGTCTTTAGTTTAAGATTTAGTATATCCAATGGCATAGTCATGTAAGTTTTAAAATACATTCAAAATCATATATCTTCACAAACCAATAGATAGGTTTAAAGATACAATGTTACCTCCAATTAGAAAACACTACGGTTTATTCAAATTTTACTTACGTGATGTTAATGTTAACAAACTTTATCCCAAGTTTTTAAAAATGCTAGAAAAGTAGTTTATTAAAGCATTTTTTATTATACTAGAAAAAACGATCACATAAAATCAAAATTAATAATAATTTTAAAATGGAATATTTTTTATAAAAATTTAAGTTCCAATTTTAGTTACGACTGTTTTAAAATATTTATATGATGAGTTTTGGTTACCATAATTCTAGTTAATTCTAGTTTGAGAATCGATTCTTTTTGATCTGGTTCCAGTTCTCGAAAAAAACTAAAGTATTTTAATTTGAAATTGGAATGCTGAGTAGGTGTAATAACTGACATGTGTACATAAATATTCACATTAATATTTGTGTAAATGAAATAAAAATGTTTTATTCTTTTTTTAATTTTGACAATCTGGCTTAAAAATTAAATTATCGTATTTTTTATTTTTAGTTTTAGTTATAATAACTATGCATGTATGAAAATATAAAGTTTCTATGATAACAATTGTTTTTAATAAATTGAGTGGTGCCAATAAAAATTAGATGATAGCTTGTGAAATTTTTATTTTTGAAAAATACTTTGTTCAAGCATTTTACAAAACGCTCAGTTTTTTACTTGCCTATAACAATTATTATATTATAGCGTTTAATGTGTATTTTGTAATTTATATCATCATTTCCACACCCAGTGATTTTATTGATTAAGTATAAACTACAGACTACAACATATGTGGCTGACTGATTATAAAACTTCTTTTAAGGTGATAATATTTTAAATTACTTGGTTTAAGCGTGTATTATAATTTTATATTATAATCATAACAAAACTATTGTATAAAAACTTTATTTAAAAAATAAAACCACTTATTTTTACAATTGAGTTTATATATTATATAGTCACTTTTATGTTATAAAATAAATATATTTCTTATAAATTTGGTCACTAATCTTGTAAGACTTATATCTATACACATTAAATTACAAAATTTACTTTCATAAATTTGTTCACATAAATTATATTTATAAATAAAATTACTATATTTACAGCGCTTCAGAGAAACCTCAAAATATATTATCACAATAATGATTACTTTGATACAAATACCCAGCCAAATACATCGAATAGATTTTTACCTGAACCAGTTTTAAATTCAATATTTTATATTGTTCGTAAAAATGCCTTATTACCTTAAAATAATTAAGACATTTAATATGAAAAATGTAACATAGTATTAATAGTATCAATAATATTCTAATGAAAATTGTTTTATTTCAGGAACACAAACAAAAAAAAATTGGTCATTATATACTGTTATTATTATATAAAAAATATTATATATTTAATTTAAACAAATTATAAGAAAAAATTACGTTATATGTGTAATTAATCTAAAATATAAATTGGGTTTCTCTGGAACATTTTAACTTACCATAGATACTAGTTATGAATATAAATAGAATGAGCACTGGCTAAAATGTGCTACATCTTATAAGGATATAAAATATTATTATATATTTATAGTAAATATATAATAGAAATATATTTATTTTTATAATTAAGTTATATCACAATACATAAATTATTAATTAAATTTATATTAACAATAAATTACAAAAATACTAATAAATTAGATAATCAAAAAAAATGAATTCCCATTATTTTAGTGTATCTAAATATAATTTTTTTAAAATACCCTCAAAATATATTCGATTTCAAACTCCTAAAACTACAAATACTTTCTTCATGTGAATGTACTTGTATATTGTAAAAGTGAAATCAAAACCAAATTTAATTATGTTTTGGTAGTAAAAGTTATATGCCTATAAACCAGTTAACGGTAAATTGTACTTACGGTATCATTTAACAACAAATATACCTATGGATATAAATTTATTAATATAAAATTTATTATAAATTATAATAAATCAATAGACATAAGCTATATATAATAAAATAATCGTCCGATAAATATTTTTAAAATATTCGATTAAATTGGTATTTCAGTATTGAAAAATTTGTATGTGGTTTTTAATTTTATTTAAATTTTCTGATGGAACATTTACCATAATTGTTTAAATTGTTTAAATTGACTGTTAAAACATGACTTAGGGAAAATTAATAAATTAAATCAGTGATAAAATTAACATCCACTATTTGAATAGTAAAATGTTATGGAAATTATAAACACGAATAAACAATTAAATAAAATGTTTAGTTCTAATAATAACTAATATTTTTGTCTTCAGTTGAAATATTGTGTGTCAATCAATTGAATGATATTATTTTTTGATAAATTATTTATATTCATATCTAATGTTATACAAAATAAATATTTGAATATTTTTTATCTTTGATTTAGTCTAATAATTATTATCTTTTTCAGTTAGTATTTATTTAGTAATAACTATTTAATCGCAAATAATTTTAAGTATTGTGGGGTTTGAAATAAAAGGAACATTGTAAATCGTAACAATATTGTGTCCTTTGTGTAGCAAAATCAATTCATGAAGGTTTCTGTCAAGTATTACACTGATGAACAATTCAATAGTTCAAAGACGAACGTACTTCCACGTGAATAAGAATAATAAGACACACATATAGTAAAAACAACTATAACAAGTATACAATGTGTGACATGTCGATCAATATCTAAAAAAAGATGTTCTATTAAATTGCATCCGTTGACATAATAGTCTACAGAGATCTATAAAACGGCTGTGTTCGTTGTAAATAAAACATCTTTCCTATTAGTAATAAATGTATACGAACAAAATTAGAAACTATTCACACTGATCGATAACACTTAAACTGACTATTCCGCATGATGTTCTTTTGTTGCAAGTCGTGCGAAAAAAACATACTATGAGTACTGTATAAAATCATTAGGAACAAAAAAAAATTGTTTAAAAACTGTGGTTGTATAACCAACCGACTTGATAATGATATTTTGAATGGAAATGTCGAGTGTTGCGTTTGTTGTATCCGTTAAAATTGCAATATCTGATTGATCCAGTCTTTGAACTTAGAAATTCTAGTGTATACACCGGGTTGATTTGGTTCAGCACATCCAATACCCCATGATATGATACCGGCTAGTAACCATCTCTTGTCCGGTCTTTGGATTACCATCGGTCCACCAGAATCACCCTAAGGACATGACATTTTTTTTTTTAATTTATTGGAATTAATTTTCATATTTTTTAAACCATTCAAACATTAAGTTATGGTATAATTCTCACTTCGCACGAATCAAAACCTCCTTTTTTCCAACCTGCGCAGATAAATATATCTGGTATGTGTTCAATATATCCAGCTGCGCGGTACATAGTTTCGCAGACAGAATTGTTGATCACAGGAACTGTTACTTCTTGTAGAACACTAGGTAGAGGTCCGTCTATTGATGAAAAAGAAATAGATTTTATTTTATAAAATGTCGTTATTTTTTTAATAATAATATAAACTTTATGAAATGATCAATAAAATACAAATATAGCATACTATATAAAATTTTAAATAATATTTTATTTTTAAATTAGATACAGTAAAATGTATTCAATTGTGTATTGCTATATATTTGTATACAATATTAAGCCCTTGTTTTTTTTTTTATGTTATAATTTAAATGTTTACCTTCATATAATCTTCCCCATCCGGTGACATAGGCAGAAGAACCTACAAAATTTGAATCGTCCTCAGGAACGCAAACAGGTATGATATTAGGTTGAAACTTTACGGGTTCGTAGAACCGTAAAAGGGCTAAGTCATATTCAAAAGTTCTGGGATCAAACTGTGGATGTGATGCGACTATTTGTATTCTTCGTTCTTCGTAACCGTAAGGTTCTTCTTCCACTGACAAATCGTGTTCACCAAGTCTAAGGAGTAAGTCACTCGGAGGAACGCTAAAATGATTAGATTCAAAAATTAAATCAGTATAATTGTAAGAATACATTTAGTGCAAAACATAAAACCGATAAACCTATCTTATATTTTATTTACTTTTCAACACAATGTGCAGCAGTTACAGCCCAATTTTCGTTGAATAATGCAGCTCCACATTTATGTAAATATGTAGATGTCCTCCATTGTCTTAATGAAATCTTTAACCAAAAAAAAATAATTTTATGGGTTATATTTCATCAAATTTTATTCTAAACTTTTAAATTGACTCACCTGCCATGGCCATTTACCAAAAGAAACTTTTTCACCTCCTACAATTCTAGCCGTCGGGAAAAGTCGTCTTCCACAAACTTTTTTCATGAAAGTAAAGATTTCATCAATTATTTTCATTCATATCATAAATTATAATATATAATATAAATGATTAACATACCGTCTTTGTAGTTGGACATATTGAGGGGAGCACTTCCGGGTTCGACGGATTCCGTCGAAGTCGACTGCGTAAGCATTGACGACAATGAACTCGATGGACTTGGCGTGCTACTGTAGGTCGTATCGACAACGTTTGAAGTCATAACGATGTCATTATCGGATGGACTTGGTTGTGTCGTCGGCTTGGACATCATCATCGTCGACGAGTATGTACTAGAACTGCTCTCTTTCGGCGGCGTGCCGACGGTGTTGGGTTCGTGTGTCTCGACTGGAAGTTTGACCCAAGAAGGATGTGTCGAACCATCGATGACCGACGGTTTGTGCGTCACTAAAACGGCAATAACACAAACATATAGTATCGATATCATAAAAATAAAAAAAATAAAAACGTGACTGCAGCCCGGGAAGACCTTCAAACAGAAAACTCACTGCTCGGCGGCGGCGACGACGATGACGGCGACGGTGGTTTCGTGTTTTCGGCCGGTACAGCGGGAACTTTGTCGAGCGTGGTCCAAGTGACCAGAGTCGGCGAGGTGGACGTGACGGTCGTCATGCTGCCGTAGCTAGGCGTCTGACTCTGGCCGTTGGTGACGGCCGCGGTGAAATTGGCGATGATCTCGGTGACGTTATCGACCGTCGTGCGGGTCGAGTACGAGGATGCCGCAGTCGCGGACTCGGCGGTGGACGACCCGAACGGTTCCGGTTTGCCGGTGGTGGCGGGTCTCGGTTTCGGCGTCGTCGCGACCGGCCTGGTCGCGGTTTGCGGTTTGACTTTTTGCGTGGGCGCGGCGGTCGTGGGCGGCGTGCCCGCGGACGCCGTTGTCGACTTGTGCGTGGTGCTCGACGGTTTCACGACCGGTTTAGTGGTGGCGAACGTGGCCGTGGCGGCGGTGGAGTTGTGGTGCGGACGCATCGACGTGACCGCGGTGTACGGGCGGCCGGTGGTCGTGGTCGCGGGCTTCGTGGCCGGTTCGTGCGAGTAGCCAGCCGTCGAGCTGGGAACGCTGAACTGGACGGTCGGTCTCGCGGTCTGAGGCTTTGGTTTTTGGGTGGCGGCCGCGGTGACCGACGCCGCGGTGGCCGTGGCCGTGGTAGCCTGGTCCCTGATCGGCGGCGGTTTGAATGAGGTTGGCTTGACCGCGGGCTTGGCCGTGGAGAAAGTGGTGGACGGCATCGGCTTCGTCGACTGCGATATCGTGGTCGAGTACGAAGACGCTATCGAACCGGTCGGCGGCGAACTGCTCATGGTGCTCGCGAACGTCGGCTTCGTGCCGCTCGGACCTGACATCTCCGTGTACTGGGTGCGCGACGTGGACGTGGTGGTGGACGGCGTGGACGACACGGCGAACTGGCCGGTGGGCTTGTACGACTGCGCGGTGGACGGCGGGTAATTGGTCGAGCTCGGCCTCGGCGTGCTGTACCTGTCGGTGACGCTCGTCGTCTGCTGTTGCAGTGGTGCGCCCGTTTTCGTGTCGATGGTCCCGGCCGGGCCGGCCACTTCGTTGTTGTCCACGCTGTTCAGGTAGTTGTCCGGTTCGATGGCGGCGTCGATTTCAGCGACCGACTGGGTCTTGCAGCAGCTGCCGAAGTAGAACCGATCGATGCAGGTGCCCAGGTGCGTGCCGTTCGCTTTGGCGCACGAGTAGGCGAACATGCACACGCCCGTCTCTCCGGACTTCCGGCTGACGCATGGCAGTTGTCTGATGTTGCGCCCGAAATCTGCAACACACGATATCATTGTTTATCTATCACGGTATATAATAATTGCAAGATATATTATATAAATTAGGTATAGAATCGATATCGAAGTGTCGATGTATAGGTAATGCGTGATGTTTGAAATTTAAAATCGAAAAGCTTGACTGTAGACACCGCCCTGCGTGCTGTACTACGGTAGATAGATGTCGAGTGTTATATTGCACAATATAATATAATATAATTTATGTGTTTTTGAAATTTTAAATTTAACGATAAATCGTTGTAAACGAAAAACGATTCTGAACGCAGATTTTTAGAATACGATATAGTACAGGCAGGTATTATTAAGTAAAAATATTTAATTATATCATATTATTTTATTAATTTATTTTAGTTATTAATTTTACTATTAGGTTGAATATTATTTTTTTATCAAAATCATTGTATATATTAAATCATTATACGCGTATTGATATTACATAATGATAATATTATATCATCGTTATTATTTTTTAAGTGAATACTGTGACTTAGCGTAGAACAATGAAAATAGATTCTTAGTTTAAATGGACGAAACTTAGAAATTAAATTTCATTTTTGATACAAAGTATATAAAAATAAACTTTGAAGCTTTAAATTCGAAGATTAATATTTTTGAATTAAAAGAAAATAACTTAAACTATTATACTTTGTTTAAATGTCTAACTTTGTTAATTACTAGGTATATGAACAACTTATGCTGAACCTAGCATTCAATTTTCTAGCCCTTTTTATCCAAAACCAAGGTAGCATGTACAAAAACCAAAAAAAAAAAAAAAAAAACAAATCTTAAAAACGTAAAAATTTCAAACACTTATAAATTTGTAAATTATTATTTTATGTTTAGTAAATGCTAATTTATATAATATATATTTTTTGTGAATGAATAGTTATATATTTTTGAGTTATAACAAAATACAAAATCAAAAACTTATTCTCCGTAAAAATGTCCGTATTTTTTTAAAATTTTTTCTCGATTATTTTTTAAAGTATTGGATATTTTCACCCCCAAAGTACCAACTACGAAAAACCCCCTTCAAAATTGAAAATCATAGCAATTTTTCTATTGTAAAAGTTGTCTTCAGATATAAATATAAAAAAAAAACTATGTATCATTGTAAAATATTGTATAGATTTTTCCGCTCAGAACTTAAAACTATTAATATATTATGTAGTAATAGTAAAACACATTAAATTGTTATATTACCATAACAAAAAAAAAAAAAAAACAATTAGTACATAAATAATAAAGAGCTATGAATTATAATACACAAAAAACAATAGGTCCTCTTACTCATCTTTTACCATTCAAATTACGTGTATCAGGGGATTTATCTATCTGTGTATCAGCAATGTCATAACTCATAATGTTGTACGGGATTTTTGTAAGTTCACGGCCGTCTTTTTATACGGCCATATTCTATAGGTACCGTGCGATTTTTTTTTTTATAGTAAGAAATTAACTTTATTTTTTATTACGTGTATTAAAATTTTAAGACGTCACAGCTAAAAAATATTGAACAACCTACTGCATTTATTAATTACAAGCCGTATTGAAAAATAATCTAAATTAAAACCAATATAATGTATAGGTACCCACTTATATCCATCTAACGTCTAACATCTAACACATATAAATATAGTCATGTAGATATATAATATTACTGTGATAGACGTAATATGGTATTTATATTTAACAGAGATGAGCAATTATTACATTTATGATGCCAATAATAATTATTTATGGCGTTAAGTTCATCATAAATTCTATATTGCGTTCAACTTATACCTGCTATGACAAATTATTTTTAATTGCACTTATAACTGGTTTCGTCTTGTGAATAAATGCTGGTTAAACTGGTCAACCTTATAAAAATGTGGGAATTTTAACTTTACTGAACTTTATGTATGCTATGTGAATTCTATATTAAATTAAAAAATTAATAAATAATGAAATGGTTTAAAAAAAAAAAAATAGTGTATGTGACTTGTGTGTAAATGTTTTATTGATCATAAAGCGATTAAAGGTGAAGAAAAATTTTTATACGAGTCATCCAAAACATATAAAATTAAATAATGAATAATGATAATAATTGAAATTCAAATGTCTATAAAATTATGCTTGTATATTTTTAGATTTTTTGGTTTCAGTATGAACCAGTTATGAGGAATTTTGATTTAAAGTTTCAAGTCTTAGCTATAAAATGTGCACATTTTATTAATTTTCAATAATTGTAAAACAATTTACAAATTATCGTGATTTTGTTAAAATTTGTTCTTAAAATGCTTAAAAAAAAGTAAATTATTCAAATATATTTAAATATTTTTATATAGTTACAGGAAAAACTTATTTGAGATATTATATTACATTTTCAAGCTTTTTAACTGGACAATTAATTTTCTTTCATATATTTTATGCAGATAAAAAAAAAAAAATTATTTAAAATGCTTATAAATAACTCAAAAATTATTGTTTTTATTGAGTATAGGAAATGATCACATAAATATTTTAAGTATTTATCTGTTATCATTAGTTTTTAAATTATAATAAAATATCAAGTCATTTGAGGAAAAATATAGTTATTTTACGAGTAAGTATCAAAGGTTGTAAAAATTTGATCTTAAAACGCTCATAAAAATTAATGTGATTTACCAGTAAACATTTTTTATATTATAGGTAAAAAAACCCATAAAGAATCCTGTATTAAATTTTTATATCTTAGATTTAAAAAGAAATATGTTTATGAAATACAAGAATTAGAAAATTTTCCATTTTTTAACTTTAAATTACATTCATTTAAAAAAAATATTTCAACTAAGTATTTTTGATATTTTTTAATTGGTAAATTAAAAAATTACGAGGAACTTTTTATTAAATTTTTAAGCATTTTGACCCAGCAAACAATTTTTTATCGACATTTGTAAAAAAAAATATTCAAATTTAAAATACATGCAAATAGGTCAAATGGTATTAAAATAATTTGAAAATATTGCTGTAAAAGAAAATTTTAATTTGAGCATTTGATATAAATTACAGGTTTTAGTTACTCTAAAAAAACAAAATCAATTTTGTCAATATGTTGCATTTTCATACATGCTGGATCACGAGAAATTCATGTTATTAACGATAAGTAGGTACCTATTTAATAATTAACTTACTATATACAAGCAACATGATTATAAAATGTAAATTTTTGGTTTTGTGATGATTAGAAAATAGAAATCTATACCTACTAACAGCATATACAATAATATTATCAAATACTTATAATATAGATTTAAAATGATTTTTATTTAATCATAAATAGATCAATATTGTTTATGTATGGTTTAATAATTTATTATATAATATTTAGTTATTATTTTCAATATGGTATAACGTTAGATAGTTTGCTAAATACTCGTAATAATACATTTAATCGAAGATAAATACATATCTATAGTTGTCTATTTAACGTTTATTTATAATAGCGATTGATCTATCACGTATCTATCAAACATTTAAAATTGTTATCAGGTAACAAGGTATTATTTTAAGCCTATTACTCATCTGTTTGCGAGTCTTTGCGACTGTAGAAAGAATGCTGTTTCCTTTATCTTTAATCAGGCTACCCGTGTACAAGTGGTGGGTCTGTATTATACTATTATTATTATTACAAATATTTATATGTTGAAAAATGTTCATAAAACACTGATACACACATAGAAAATACAGAATGATCAAGTCAGTTTTGGGGCTTTGAAAAAAATATTCTCATAAACGTATTTATAATTTTATATCATATGTTCATGAAAGTAATTTTCTTATATTGTGGTTTTTTTTAAATTTTTTTAATGACAATCTAGGCATTTTTATATAAACCAGATACAAATATTTTTATAAAAACGTTCTTGTATACATTTTTAACATTCAATTGATAGCTTCTTTTTTTTTTATATATAAATAATAACTGATTCAAGTTGATAATACTAATGGGCAAAGGAAAATGAATACCAAGTTGTAGTGAACTACTTTACTCATATGAACTTAAAAAGTAAAAAAACATACTTATATTAATTAATAAATATTTGTTTGATATCCAATACTAGAACGGCTATGTTGTTAGATGTATTCTACTTCTAATCACGAAGTTAAAAACATTGCAGATGATTATTAAAAACTAACAAAAAATAAAATTTGAGAAGTATTATATACTTATTTAAGACCATTTAAAAACATTTTTTTTTCTCCAAAAATACAAAAGTTGATTTGGAAAATAATTACAGGAATTATCGTGGTTAAATGGATCACCCTGTATACAGATCATCATTATAGATACACACATACACACGTGTATAATATATACATATATAGGTGTAGACAATGAGCCACAGTTGTGTCTGGCTAGTTTGTAGGTCAGTAGATTGAGTGTACGCGCGCGCCAGCGTGTGTTTCGATTAACAGTTATCTTGTCTTGTATTGTGCCCACAAAAAACCCGTACCCATAAAGGTAGTGGAAAAACAAGTTTTTTTTAATGTATGCGCCAATGTTCAGCTTGCATTGTGCGCATAGTTGTTTGTTGAACGTGATTTTATTTTGCCTCCGAGTAAAATAAAAACGCAAGACGTTTGTCGTTCTACTTAGGTGTTCGATTGTCACTGCAGTTGTTACACATTAAAATTAAAAATATTAAACTACCTATCCATCATCTTGGTCTGTTGTGTATTATCTGTGTATTATGATTATAAGTACGCGTTGTATTCACACGACTCAGGATTTTTTTTTTTAATTCATTTGTATTATTGATCGTTTTATTTTTATACAGGAAATGTTTTTTTCGTAAAAAAAATCTATAAACATCACCCTAGTCCACAAGTGTAATAGATACACTATCCGAGTATGAACTTAATAAAGTTAACTATTCCCTCAACTGGATAAATTGATTGGGACAGAAATATTTTAAAAACATAATATAAACGTAGTGAATTGAAAAAAACAACTATTTTATAGATAGTGTGATTTAATTTAATGTAAACTGTTAAAAAAACAATTTTAGATGCTTGAATGCGTAAAAAATATGACTTCTGTGACTAATATTATACTATAGGCACACGTTAAAAAGTATCTATGTTTGAGAATAGTACATACCTATATTATAACAGTAATGACTCATTTCTAACTGTAAAAATAGTTTGTTCATAGTGTTTATACCTTTCAAAGACTATTATTCACTTCATTATAATATGAGTTAAGTAGAGAAAGTGTCATCAGGGCATCAGCTATACCTTTCCTGAAAAGTCATTGAGTTTATTATACTCTAATGTATTCTAAAACGATCGTGACCTTATACCATTTTCCTGATTTGGTGTACAAAGATTAAAGATAAAATATTTGATTTTTAATAGGTAGGTATCGATAACGTTGAGAATGATAAAATATAACACTCTTCAAATTAAATATTTGTTTGAACTCGCAGCTGCTGAAATAGATATACTAAGTGTGGAGGTGTCGAGTTACATATTGAATTGTTTAAGACTATTTTTTTTTTTTAAATATTATTAATTAATGAGTTGTTGCTAATAAACGTGAATGGTTTTACCAAAAGATCATTTTCTAAACAATTGATGTTTAACCCGAAATATAAAAATGTTTTTTGTGTTTCCTTTTAATCTTTGTGTATTTATTTTTAAATAATGTTACTAAGAATAATAGTTATGTATAGTACATATTATGTTTAAAATAGTTTTAAAATTATTTCTGAATTATTTTTACTGTCACCATCATTAAATAAATAAGTTTTGGTCATTTATTAGTTTTAAAAATGAAAATATTTTTTAAATATTGTTTATTCCAAATTTAAATTTACTAAAATTATGTTCACGCATATTTTCTTACATATGTGAAGTTCCTAATAGTTTATATACATAAATTAACGGTTTTAAATGATATAAATAGAATAAAACATATAATTATCGTAACATTTTTCGTATACTTTAATACCTCTATTGGTTTTTAATTTAGGTTAATAACCCACGTCTGATAATCTAATTGCAGAACGATTTCAAATTAAAATATCCGTTAAGTAATAACTTATAATAATTTTGTCTTAATATGTTATTTAATTTTGTAAATTTGTTAAAATAAAATTATATTACTTTATTATTATTAATTTTCCTTCTTCGATAAGTAACTATTTATTGCGCAAAGGCTTATAATAAGTAAATAATATAATTTTTTTTTAAACAACATTTTTACTTTCTAACAACTAATGTATGATTTTATGGTTATCTAAAATGATTATGATTAGTGTTTGCACTCTTAATGATTAAAATATTACCTGTAATCGTAGTTGGTGAGTCCCACGAGGGATATGATTTCACTAAACTTTGGCTGATGATCAATCCAATTATAGATATCTTAAGTAATAATGCTTTATTGTGTGAAGACTTCATTGCTGAACAAATGCCATGTCTCTTCATTCTAAATATAAAAATAAAATTTTTAATAATATAATTTTTGATTTCCAACATTTAAAATAATATTATAATAATTAATATGGTATTAAAGTGAATGTCATAGAATAAGCACAAACCATAAAATAAGTTCAGGATAATGAGTCCGTTGAAATTAATTATTTTGCAAAGACCAATTATTTTTATGTCTATTATTTATAGTTGAATTTTTATAAATATTCAATATTTAAAATCCATATTTTAAATGTTTATTTTTACAATTCTATTAACATTTTAGTTTTTACAAGGCTTTACTTATTTTTTTTATAATAATAATATAATCAATATCTTTATTAAAAATACTAAAATTTAAAATGCTAATAAATTACTTAATAAATAGGATACAAATTTATAGGAATGGATGTCACAAAAATCAAAAGTCGTAAATAGAATTTATTTTTGTAATTATAATCGTATACATTTATATCATATATCTAATGAAAATGTTATTAGTATAATATTATGTGAATGCGTAAGAGTATAGAACAGTGATTTTTTATAATATTACTAATATGCACCATTTTAATTTGTCAAGAGTGTGGTACACATGATACTTCCTCGTATACAATGTATACTTAATGTTATTGATGCATTCATAATTTTATACGTTATTAGTAAAGCGCGGATTTCTATGTTATTACATATTTTTTTCCTTTTTACTTTTTTGGATTTTTGTCTGTTATTTTCACTAATCATAACAATTTGAATCTAATGATGAACTTTTTTTTGTATATTTCTGCATATTTAATTGTTATTGCATATTTTTAAAAAATTCAAAATGTATTGCATATTAAAACAAAAATTTAAAAAAATTGTGTAAAATAACATTTTGTCAAAAAGAAGTATTAAAAATAATTTTGTTGGCATTAAATAATAACCAAAGCGCGCGAATTATTAATTTTACAATCGATTATTATTTTCTTTTTTACTTTTTTAGAATTTTTTTTAGTTATCTTCACGAATCATAATAATTTGAATATAATGGTGAAATTTATTTGTATATTTCCGTATATTTTTACAAAATTCAAAATATATTATTACATATTAAAAATAATTTTTTTATATTCTTAGTTTATTTAAGTAATTAATTATTGTAAGTTGTTTAATTTGCGAATTTTATATAATTAAAAAAAAATCTTGCATATTTGTTGTATATTTGTATGATTTTTACTGCATATTATGTTGCATATTTCGATACTTTTTAGTACATAAAAATCCGTGATCTAGTTATTAGTTAATAGTTTTAAGTTTATATACATGAATAGATATAGTAGATATCCACGTTCTATTTGTTACATATCTATAGTGCGTATACCTATAGGTACTCTATCCTATACAACAATGTAAATACGTAAGTTATTAAGTTTATGTCATCTAATACAATGTAACAACATTTTATGTGATAATTAAAATATTGTTAATCTTATAAATACATACCTATAATATAATATATAATGTATACTATATTGCAGCTAAATAACTTCGATTATCCTAAAAAAATGGTTAAATTTTAATTATTTCTTTAATCATAGTAACCATGTTTGAATATTTATTGCATTCAATACTTGAGTGTGCAATTAAAGTGTATTGAATTATATTATGACGGAAAATGTAAATTAACAGAGGGCGAAGTGTCGCTGCATTCACACCATAAAAATAGTCTTGGTTAAAAACATGAATATATATTATATACATTATTTTTTTAGTAATACCCGGCGATCCATTTCTGAAAAATAACGCGTCATAGATACGAAAAAAATCTAGCGGAAAATCAATTGCATCCTTGATCTTTTTCAATTAAAATTTAAATCATGCGTAAAATGTAAGTCTATATAAAATGTAAATCCTTATTCTTCAACAAAGTATTTGAAAATAGAACAGTGGTTATTTTTTTTATCTATTTCAACACGATTTACTCTTCTACGATAAGACATACCTATTCCAGATTTTGGTAACATGGTGGTGCATACAAGTACAAGAACTTATAATAATCATTATAGCCTATTTATTGTATAAACATAATATAATTAAATTAATCATAATTATACATTATTTAAATGCAGATGCAATAGAATTTTCAATTGTATTTTAGTTTTTAAAAATGGCATGACAAGTAGGTATACGTATACTATTATTATAAATAATAGCAAAATATATTCGAGATTTTAATTTTTATTTGAAGAGAATATTTGTATACAATACAATATAATAGTTGTATAAATGGTAATATTTTTAGTAATACAGTGAATTAGGTAAGTAGGTACATCATAAAATCGATTAATTAATAATGTACCTACGTAAAATTATAATAAAATTATAATAAATTTTAATAATAATAGTTTAAAAAAAACACAAATATATATTTATAAATTTACATGTCACATGTTTTGGGTACAAACAACATGACCCATATATTTGTATAAATGTATATTAAAAACCATATAATTTAAATTATATTTGACTTATCTGCCTGATAAACGTTACGGTGTGGATGCCTGTGCATAATATACCCGTTGATCATCATTACCTACCCGTATAATATGTCGTATAATGTATGTACAAAGATAACGTACTAATTTTACTATAGTGGATGGTTTTATAATAATACGAGTATAATATTATTATTAGTTTATGTTTCCGTTTAATATACCCTGAAGCATATCTATGCCCAACAACTATATCAATTTATAATTTGGCCTACAATGTAATTTTGAATTCCAATAATAATGAATATATTATAATATTATATTATATTATGTTATGTATTAAACAGAAAAATTAACGTTATATTAAACTCAATCATCTATAATCTACATTATGTCGTATACAATTTTTTATCTATTCAATAATAAATGCATTAAAGAGAGTTAAAGCACGTGATAATTCTGAACAAACAATTTAACATCAACATTTTCAAAGGTTAAGTTAGGTTAGGAAAATTTAAATAATATTACATTATATTCGGTATATTTTTCTGTATGGTTATAATAACCATAACCGGATCTAAGGAGGGGGCAAACCAGGGAACTTGCCCCAGAAGTCGGGGGGCGTCAAATTACCAAATAATAAGTGGATACATTAATAATTTTTATTCTTTATAAATTATAATATAATGAATATTATAATACAAACTGCAATATTATCATTTGATTTTGGCTATGAATACCTCCATTTCCTAAACGGATTCTTTGTGTGTATCAGTAATATACATATATTCGAATTAAAAAATTTTTTAGGAAAAGTTAAGCAACAATTTGATTTGTATTTAATACACATTTTTTCTAATCAAGTATCTAAGATTTTTTTTTCCAATTTTTTATTATTTTTTTTTTTTTTTTGAGTAACTGGTACATAAGTGTATAACAGTGGCATTATTTAAGGGGGCTGAATCATAAGAGGGCGCTAATTTTGTAAAATATGCTAGATCCGACTCTGATAATAATTACATTATAAATATAATTAAAATATAAGCATTTATAAATATTTCATAATTTGTTTTATTGAAAAATTGATCATGTTTAAGTTCATAAAATTAAAATATATTTGAATACAAAATTGAGATTAAAAAAAAAAAAAAAATTTAACCAACTAATATGAAACCTTTTTTTAAATGTTTTAAAAAAAAAATACTTAATCTATGCGAGCAGTCTAATTTTAATATTTATTTTAATTTGTATTTTGATTTCGAAAATCAAGTTTAAAAAAAAAAAATAATATATATTATTATAACTGATATTTTTTAAAATCATTTATAGTAAAGACGATTATTTGTATATTTAATTTTCATAAATTCAACGAATGTTCAAAAATACCAAATTCTAGTCATGATTAATAACGTTGCTTGTAAGTAGTAATATGAGATTCAGTATAGTTAAACAAACTTTAAAATATGTATTAACGATTTACCAAACCTGTAATTATTACTCATAAATTATGTACCGTTAATATATATAAACGAATATTGGTACAACCATACATTTTATCGAAAAATATAAGCACTGACCATAAATAAGTTTTATATTTATCAATAAATGTAAAATGAATAGCAATAAATAATAATACCAATAATGACAATCTATTGGTTTCTAACAAGTTATATTATGTTTCAGAAATAATATATATCCATTCTGTACACGAGTTCTGCGATGATACAACAAGACACGCACGAAGTCAGAGAGCGATGCCCGAGTGTAAATTTTTTTATATATTATGATATTATATGCGTTGGTATTAGATATACTAAATTATATATGACAACGAAAAAAACCGCACCGAAAAATCGTTGTCTACAAAATTCGTGAAATCAAATAGGCATTCTCGTAATATAATATGTAATTTTATATCATAATAATGCCGAGTGGGCGGATAATACGTAAAGTTACTAAGTGATTATCACTGGGAAGGGACATAACATTTTGCAATTTAATGTCGCACGTGGTTGACAAAAATAAGAACAAATTTAAAAATCAAATTAGTGATTCTTTATTGATTATAACCCAGCTCGTACGCCATTGTGTACAGAAATACAGAAACATATCTATTTAAGTTCAAGCATGAATGAGAGATGTCGACTGTGGAAGGAGAGAGTATATTCATCAACAATCGGTATATTGGTCCCTTCAAAATTTGTAAAATAATTTTCTTTTGCAACCTTTCGTTAGATTTGTAGCCTGAAGGTTAGGATTTTGTTACTCCAAGATAAATAAAAATATGAAAAACAGATTTATAAGTTAAAATCCGTTTAAAATCGGTACATTTATACTTACTACTTAGACAATAAATAATAAGCACTTTATTTCTCATTTTATAATGTTATAGTGTTTCAATGTTTTATATGAAAGTCTTCATAAAACCACCCTGAAGATCAAACTCTTTAGTCCGCCAACAATATATTTAGTATAATATATAGGTAGTAATTATTAGTAAGTATCGTCGTATCGATATATCCTAGTCAACGTAATGTATGCATCACGTATTTATTGTTTACAGAATAGTCTGGAATCGACTTTCCATAATCGTATTATAATATTAACGCATAAGCTTTGGATTCCTGATCGATGATTAGTCATGTATTAGTATGTGTTAAAATCGTTATCACGTAGAAAGTCGTAGTAGTATATAGTAAATATAAAATAGAACGCGTGGTCGTACCAAATCCTGTATTTGAATTTAATTTTTATGTCACTATTATTCATACGAACGGAAACGGTGTAGTGCAGACGTAATGTACATGTTATGAGTACGTTATATTATTATATGACTAGCGTAGGTTGAATATTATTATAACAACCTATATGGTATTTCTAGGTCAGCAATTTAAAACGGCGAAAGTTTTTTTGCAAACAGAGGTACGTGTTCAAAAATTTAAATTTATTTTTTCTCGGAAATATAACCCAAGAAAAATTCAAAACGTTGTCGACTCGTGGTCTACTGCTATTACTATTTTTGGATATTGAGTCACAAATTTGCATTATCTACCAATTTCTGTCGTCTGTTTGTATATTATATATTTATTTCACGAGAGTCGTAACTGTAAAATAGTTTACACTGGCGTGAATGATCGGATGAATACTAATTTTTTCTGCGGTTAAGTTAACAGAGAAATACGACCAATAAATTGTATACGATATAATCATTCGAATAAAATGAAATATATAATAGGTACGTGAAAAATATTCGATGTTTTGTTTTATCCTTCCTGAAAGTTGATCAATCAAAATTTTATTTATAATTTAAATACTAAATCTGTTATTCAGTTAGATCGAATTTCAACTTATATAATAAATATATATATGTATTTTAATTTAGTGGGTACTAACAATTTTCTTCGTGATTATATTAAGTAAAAACTTATCAAAAAACCAATTTGGGTCAACAGAAAATTATTTTGAAAAATATTAATACTATACAAATACTAGGCTTAGTTATAAAATTTATACATAATAGTATATAATTAGAAGATCACTAGTAAGAAAAAATAGTAGAAAATAAATTAAAATGAATATCGATGATGTACCTACTGATGTATTTGTTTGTTGGAACCTAGGTGTATTAAATAACACGGGAATGGTTTGTATAATTGTATCTATAGTTTATATTATTTCTATTAAATGAAGTTATCTTTTGTAGGTGAGTTGATCCTCAGAAATATTCTCAGAAACATATTATTTTGAGAATAGCCACTATTGTTTTATTGATACAATCAATAAAACGTTATCAATTTTACCGTTTAAAAAAATAGTTTTACAATTGTATATAAATATATAATAGTATATACAGTACTTATATGTCAGTATATATAGGGTATAAAAAATAATTTGTGAATATAGTAAACTGGATTGATTTAAAAAAATATTGTTGATCTACCATATAGTAAAAATATTTAAAATGAAGAGTCGTTTTCGGGTAAATTTTACTAATGTTTTTTGTTTAACAGTAAACGCTACGATCTTATATACTATAATAGCTGTTTTCGCTCCGCGTAATATTGTTACGTCGGTCAATTTGATATTTTTGTAGAGTTTGCCGTTCGCTACAGCGGCAATTACCTACAATACCTATAAGCACAGTATGTATATATTCGCCGTATACAGTAAAATCGTAGTGGCGTACATACATAATATATATCTAACCTATTATATTACAATGGCGTTGCGGACCAATATCGACGATCGTTCGGAATGTTAATGGGTATAATATTATGTGTACGTGTTGGCTGCACGAGATCCGAGAGGAGAGGTTATTCCTATATATAATATAATAATTATTATTATCGTAAAGAAGGCGAGCCGTCTGCCGAAGCAGAAGTAGCGGATACATCGGATACATATAGCTGATAATTATACGCGCGCGGCGTGGTCGACGAGATTGAAAAAGAAAAAAAGAAAAAAAGCTCTCTCTCCTCTTTTTTATGATATAAAAACACAACTACGTTAAAACGACAATAATTAATATTGTCTAGGCTTGTATGTAATTATCGATTTACAAAAAATAAAGAAAAAATACCGTTGAAATCGTATTAATATCGGAAAATTGCTGAAGAACGCGTGCTCACGTACAGCATAAAGTGACAAACGTGCGCGTTACATGCCACATCAGTATTTTATTGTTATTACTCACACTGCAGCAGATAGGTAATTAGACAATGTTAAATAAGATATGTAAATGTTATTATATCTGTATACATTAAACTCATATTATAATATTATAGGTACTTACAATATACGATAGACGGTTTGGTTTCGTGATCCGTAAAAATATAAACTATATATGAATAAAATAAATATTTTATATATAATATTATTATAATATGCGTTATATGTATAACACAGTAGCAAGCTATCTGTACATATATGCAAGATATATACGTACACAGCGGAGGAAAACACGTTTTACATATTATTATTACTTTTTTATTGGGTAGGTTGTGTGAGATGTGTGTGTGTGTTTGTGTAAAGACGCACCTACATAAAAGCGAATTATTATGTTGAACCCGTCACCCAGATATTTGTATAAACGCTTCCAATGAGTGTTATGCCTGCAGACGATAAGCCTCCCAAGAATCCATGACTGTATTTAATATTATATTTAATATGTATAGGCATTAGGAAAGTCACGTTCGTAAATCACCACTGGTCGTAGATATATTACAATCAGAAACCGAATAATATCGATCATGATAAACAATATAGTATTATCATTAAAGTATAACGATCGTTTCCTATGTATCGTATATTTGGTATACTAATAATTTGACAATATGTCAAAATTACAGTGTTTGCATTTTTAAATATTATTTATAATAACAATTTTGCTTCTTTAACTTAATTCTACTGTTAGAAAATTATTTCTCCCTCCCATCTCATTGAATACCATACATTTCTGCTCGCACGTAGAATTCGGGTTCATAACAACTATCCAAGATATATGTTTGAGTTGAGAACATCATGGCCACGTGTTAAACGTGCAGTAAAATCTTTGTTAGGTCAGGGTCGTTTAAGTCTCTTCGAGACATTTCGAATATCCGCTATACTATATAATATTATGGGATAGCGGCAATACAACAGACACGTGTATTGCTTAGACAAATTAAGCACTTCCGTAATTTTTTTATAATTATTTACTATTACTAACAATTAATATTAATATGACATACTGATTATATAATAATATGAATATTATGAATTTATAACGCGTTATTTATCGAGATAAATATACTATATTAGTAATTTTATTATCAGTTATTTATGCAGAATAAACGCATTTAAATAATTTTCTGTGGAAAAAATTGTTATATGTAATTTTATTGTATCATCATTAGTCATTAAAAATATATATGTTATGCTTTTCGTGGACTTCTGATTATAATAAAGAGAAATTAACAAACTATAAATATATTATAGAATATCATGTCATATTAGTTAGTATTATTAAAAATACCTTACGTATCGTGTCCTATAAGCATACCTACATTATTACATCGGTGACTAATATTTCCCCTTATTCCATACTATTATTTCTAAGCTATAGCAGTACTTATTAAATATGTAATTTATGACATACTTTGAGGTACCTACTTATTTAGCTCTTGTAATTTTGTCCAGTGAACGTACGTGTATCGACGTTAAAAAATATCTCTGAAAATTTTTACACAAATATATAAAACACTTTCAATAATTAAATACATTGATGTGATACCGATAGATATAATATATTTATACGTATTACGTAAAATATAGAATACATCACTAATTTTTTTTTCATAAAATAAACAAAAGCCATTGTACGGAATTACCACATAATAATAGTATAATATTACTATATAATATTAAAAATTAAAATATATATTAAAATAGAATTCGTCTTCGTCAGTGTGCCATTTAATTTACATATATTTACACTGAATTGAAAAGAGTGATCCGTTATGAGCTATAAACCTACCTTAAATAAGTGTTGTATCTATGCTATTAAATAATTTAAACAAAAGCATATTTTACTTTTTTATATTTTCAAATCGAAAAAATTTAGTGCTCATAGCACATATTATTATTTAATGGGTGGACAGACTAGTGGCTTGAGACTTGTTCATCAAGAGTCAAAATCTCAAGGCAGTCAGACCACCAGTGACTAGAGAGTAACAATAACAATTTTTATACTCGTTGTATGACTTATAATAATATAAAACTGTTTAATTATACACATACGGAACAAACAATTTCAATTTGTCTGAATTCTCTGCGAATATGATACAGTATAAAACACCCGTATAAAATTGTCACACCATAATGACCAAAATAATTACGTGAATAAAAATACAATAACATAATATAATATGTACAAAACTAAAAAAATGCACGTATATTTATATTTTATGGCATAACGTAATCCATCGTTTTGCCTTTAGACAAAAATAAATAATCAAAGGATGGGGCTTAGCCGTTCAACCCGTCTCTAATAATAGTAATGATTGTTCGACTCGCTTATTTTTGTATTTAATATATTTTTTTATACTTATAAATTATAACTAAATACTTAATAAGCATGGAATTTATATAGGTATCTATTTAAAATAATCTTTGGTTTAGATTCTTATAAAAATATACGAATGCTTGTATAATAAATTCATAATTCTTTTTTTATCTATTATTCCGTAAAAGCGCTCAATATAATAATCAGACCATACCTTTCTACAATGACATCTCGACACGCCCGCTAGCAAGCATCTAATAAACGTGTTAAAATGGTAAAGGCAAGGTATACATTTTAATGTAGGACACTTATAACACGATGTAGAACCGTGTAAATGTGGGTATATATAGATTGTTTTGATGAGAATTTTCGAAACTAGGAAGGTCTGCTTGATCATGTATATATATATTATATATATATAGGTTTATAGATTATAATTTATAGGTACGCATATAATCGTATAACGGGAAAGCGCGATTCGCTGCAGTGCACGATGAAAACGCTTTTTTACCATCGAGACGATCGTGCAGTAATCCCGCATTGTTTTATTCAAAGTTAATTTATCTTTAACGAATCGTAATACTCGTATTAATATTAAATTCAAATACAATAATCTCCACAATTAAAATACAAAAAATAATTTATTTTTCTAAAACTTAATAAAGTTTCAAGATAAAGTTATATAAATGTTGAACTTGAGTTATTCATAATGTATTGAGCGTATTAAAAGAAATCGGAATTTTACATTTTTACCTACCTTTTAGAATATTTACTTCTAATAAAAATAAATTTGTTCAAATTTTCTACGGTATTTACGAACATCACTCTTCAATATAGACAGAGTGATACTATGAAATCACTTCACCAATTTAACACACTTTGAATTAAATTTGTACATCACGAATAGCAATGTAGCCCTTCATTAAATATATGCTTTCGATCACTTTATCATGATAAAGGAATAATAGAAAACCTAGTTGTTTATCCTCTTAATGAATTTCAAAAAAACTTACGACTTTTAGTAATATTAATTTATAATGCTCGTGTTTATCGTGAATAATCAGTATAATGTATATAAATCAAATTTATTTCGTATTTTAGACTCCGATACTATAAAAAAATTTTAAATGGGTAGAAAACAATGTAAAAACATTATATACAACACATACTTATAATTTTTTTTTAAGGACAATGGCGATGATACCTGATTGCTATTATATAATATGATCATTTATACATGGTTCAAACTTGAAAAAAATATACTTCCCAAAAGCCATAGTCAAAGTCCACCTATAGGTTTATTATATATATAATATATATGTCTCATACTACAACAATGGTATAAAGTAAAACTTGTTAGCCGCCTAAAATAGCGACTTACCTATAATATAATTAAGTATGTATATATCCGTCCTGTACGGCTGTACTAGGTAAGTATATTATTACGATCGCGCGTACAGTGTGTATCACAGTACGACCGCAGCGTAAATCATATAACGGTACACGTCGAAAAGAAATCTCAATGACCTTGTGGCGTTGGGTCGTGTCCGCGGTCCTCTTGACGCAGTCGTGTAGAACGTAGTTATGTACAAAGTAACTCGCGGTCGCGCCGAAATCGTATACGTATACAATATAATTACTATATATACGTCATTTATACCTACAACGTAATGACAACGATGATGTACATAACACATAATATACCGTACAGGAAAAAACGCATATTTTCCCAATATACCGTTTGTCGAATAGATTGATAACATTAAGTATATTTATACTTATTAGTACAATTATTATTAACTGGTAGATGAAATATTTGTTGGCTGACTTAGAGATGCTATTGTGAATCAGTCTCTTATTATCTAAAAAGTTACATAGTATTTACATATTATGCATTAAACAGATAAATGTTAAAAACGATTTATGATAAATATAAAAGAATATACCTGTCATAGTTACGTGAAAAAAGTATTCCATAGAAACTATGGATGAATTGATTTTATTATAGGTGCATCAATACATAATTCAAAATATAAAACACCTATAGTGTATTTACATCCGTCGAATGATGATAATGTCGAAACTAATAGAAATGCAAATTTTAAAGTCGATTTTCAACTAATTACTGTTTCATTTTTTAAACAATCACCTCTCATAAAAGAATCATCGGCGTCATAATAATGATGCTGATCATGATGATCATCTGGATTGCAAAACTCGATATTTTTACATTGTAAAAACATTAAGTTTCGCGATCTAGTATTTACTATTTATCTGTGGTATATACGCGGAAGCGACGGCGACAATGACCGACCGCCGTGCCGTCAGAAACGGTTCACGCACAGCGTACAAACGCACGCACAAGTACCATCTCCCCGAACGTCTTCGCGTTTATATATATAATTAAATATCATTAGTTCTGTGTAATCGTACCTATAATAAGCATATAATACATTCTCGTATCTATATACGCTAAGGTAGGATTTCCGATACAAGTAACTATGTGTGTATACCTAGTAATTTCTCTTAGTGACTTAGTATGAGATATTACGCACGCGCGTGTATGTGTATGTGTATGTATCTGCGTGAGTATGTATAATAACGGACTCGAGCGAGTGAATAACGGTCGACGTATAATCCTGTTTGACTAGAATCTACAAAACACCCAGCGTTTTATCATTATATATATATATTATGTACTATTGTTAAGTACCCATCATACACTAATTTGATTTCCTCACTGTTATTTAATGATTGTGCATTTTCTTTTCATTATTTTCTTGAATTTTTGTTTACCTTAAAGTAAATACCCGATGCGCCCGTTCATATATTAATGCATGTTACAAGTACATCATACATTCATAAATAATATCGCTATATTCATCATAAGCGTAAACTATATAGAACGACCAAAGCGAAATTACTTTAAAATAACAAAATCAATACCCCCTGTTTTTTTTTAAAAACATTTATTGAATAAATAATAAAATTTTTCCAACAAAAATTAAGTGTTAAAACGATTAATGAAAAATTAATCTTTTGGATTCTGTATTTTTTGTTGATAATTTTGTAAGAAAAATAACTGTGATTAAATTACTAAAATTTGATAATGGCCAGTTTCCTTATTTTTGATGACTTGGTTGCATGCTAAAAACTGGGTAAAAATTTAAGAGTAGTTAAGTTGCTAGTATACTATAATATTTTAACTAGCAACTCACTTTTATACACAAAAAATATTTAGCGATAAATGTTAATTGATATGAGGTCTTAAATATGAAAGAGTTCAATAATATTGCTAAAGGGTTACAAAAGTTAAACAAAAATACTATTAAACCGCGGAAAACAACGCAATATACATCGTTATGGTTAAAACAACGGATTTTAGGACCGTATAGTATATAAATATATCTATAATTATCAACACGATTGTAGTCGTAGAACATCGTACGAGACGAATTTATTTCTGCACTCGCAGTGCCGGGCTTTCATGATTTTAGATTTGGAACGGCTTTTAGTTGTTTCTTTCCGGGTGGAACAAAAAAATTTATCGAGCGTATAGTTCGTTGACCGGTCGTTAGATCGAAACATGCCGATGACAAGGACGAAATATATAAACTGAATAAAAATAAAAATATGTAATTTACAGATGAAATTTGCAATTTTCTTGATGTCTTAATTTCCCAAACAGAGCGGTGGGATTTAGTTTTCATGGCATTAATATAAATTAGTCGAATTATTTCATGGAATTTTTTAATTGTAATCGTGCATATATTGTATACTAAAGTAAATTTTGATCGAATTTGAGAATCAGATGGATAGGTGTTTCAACAAATAATATTCAGTTCTGTTAATATATTCAATAATAGAACAAACATTTTTTTTCGTCGATCTACTAAATAATTACTAGGTACTTTTGATTTGTGCGGTAATTTTTCTTTTTTTTTTTAACAACGTTTAACACGCTTTTTAAAATAGTTTGAGTGTTCGATGACGACTATTATTTACTGACTTATTTGATACGGCATAAAATAAATTCGGCATTCGATGTCTTCTTTGTCTTCGCTCAAAATAATTGTAATCTGTGTTAGACTCAGTGTCGGTTTAATGATCTATAACTGAACGCGGATGTCGAATAGAGGTACCTACATACAGTATAGTACACTACTTTCCTCTACAAGAGAAATCTCATTCAATATTTGTACTCAATTGAATATCATAATAAAAAAAACAAATGGATATGCGTTATTGTTAACGGGTGAATATTATAATATATGAGTGGCCGCCTATTACACAAAGATTATTATTGACAATCATGTGATCGAACGTATTTTATCTTTGGACTGAATTTAATTTGTGTATCACAAAAGCGTATTTAAAAGTTGGGTATATTAATTAGCACGATCGCTAAAATCTAGACTACTTATTATAATTATGGATTATTGTTTCTATAATAATAACTATTATTAGAAAATATGATTTCTATTTTTTTAGCTATGTATATAAATATATAATTGTATGGATTAGAAACAAACATTATATAGAACTCTAGTTTCCAGAAGGCATGTTATTGTTTATTGGACAGTGCTATAGGTATACTATTATTGTTAGGTATCTAAAACGGTAATGGGTTGTTAAAATTAAAATTTTTGCTGATTCTTTGTGATGGAACTAGGAAGTTCTTATCATTTTAAATCTCACTTGTTTAATGTTTTACATAAGTATCCTAGATAATCTTAAGAATAAAAATATTACCAAAGTATAGAATCTAAAAACTATATCATAATCATATAACTAAATTTTTTATAACTAGCTTCATATAATTCAATTATTTTTATGATATTATTTAAATATAAAAACTCTTACTAAGGAAAATAATTTTATTCGTTTTAGTTATTATTTGCTGTGTTATATAATATTACACAAAAAGATCTTTATATTATACCTAAATACCTAGTGGATATTTTCCTTAATTTTTTTTGTCATAGAAAAATTAAAATAAATACCTAGATATTTAGATTTTAAAAATGCGTTGATAAAAAATGATTGGAATGTAACAAAAAAATAAATATTCTACCAACACATTATTATGTTTTTATGAACTTAACTGAACTCCTGAGTTATCAAGTCATGGTATATTAGAAAACCACATCATGTTATATTATATCTATTAATTCGTTTTATATATATTTTAATAGTCTATACAATAGTATTTTTACGGTAGAATAAAAGTTTTGTAAGTTCATCAATGATAACGAAAACTAGATTAACTAAGTATTATTATAACTATAAATAAGGTGTGTATTCATTGACACCTAATCGTTTCTATTTTACTTATTTAATATATAATTAAGTACACTAATATCTTTATAGATAATATATATTAAATAACATTTATTTGTTCATTAAACATAGAAAATCATGAAACTTTATTTATCGAGCATCTTTCAAAGAGAACAGCCTACCTATTACATAGTTAATAGGCATATTAATTAAATTATCATAATAGAAATATTCGTTTTAATATGTTTTCACACAATTTAAATACAATATTGAAATAATCCTTATTTTCCTTACTTTTCTGTAGGTTAGGTAATATTCAATGATAATAAATTTACCTTTAGAAATACAAACTACTGTTCAATGATTATAAAAAAAAAAAAAACTATTTTTTCTTATTCAAACGATTTAATATAGTTTTATTTGTTTTCAATTTAAGACTTTAATATCCGTTAAAGTAAAAAAAAGTCGATTTTAATCAATGAAATGTATTTAATAGTATGTTTACTTAATTATATTTAGCTGTTTTTCAATAATAAAATTAACATTTTATATTGGTTGTTATGTATTTATTTTCATCATTTAAAATTATCCATTTTAAATTTTAATACTATATGGATAAATTATTATGATAGTTACTCAAAATGATATTTATGTTTATTATTTTAATAGTATCAAAATTAAATTATACATTAATATTATATAATTTATATTTACAGATGAAAAGTTTCTGTTGTATATTTTATAAAATAAAAGAAAGGATTATGACACCAATGAAAATAAAATTGTTCGTCAACCTTAAACATATTAAAAGCTAATTAATTTTAAAAAAATAATTGGATGCTTTAAATATAGTTTCAATAATTTCATTGAAACTTTTATCATTAGTGTACTGTATACATCGGGTCAAATGCACAACTAGAAAAATTTAGTTTTATAACACTATTTTAATGTTATAAGAAAATTAATAAATTTTAAGAATCATGTATAGATTAAAAAAATAAATGCACAATTATTTTTAATAAAAAAATATTTCTAATTTTTTTGCTTAATTTTTATTAATTTGTTATATTAACAATACTTTTGATCCTATTCTCGCTAAAAAAAAATATTTTACAATTTATATAGTCAGCTCGATATACTTATATTGAGAGTTTTATAGAAAACTCTTATTTTTTTGCACAAAGAATTCTTATTTAAAAAAAAAATAACCACGATGAATGGGTCATTCTCCTGTCTACAATTACGGCTACTAAGGTCATTAAAAGTGACCATCTAAAATACAATTTCATGGTTGATGCTTGTCGAAATGGTAATGGTAATATGTTTCTTAATATATTTCAATTTGTGAATAATTTTTTAATGACTCCATTATTTATTTTGTTATTAGTTCGAAAAGTTCAAGAATATTAATCGTTACCTATTATATATTTATGTGTTAATTATTAAAGCTATTGAAGAATTCATACAAAAATTCAAAAAATATAAAGTGTAAAAAAAAAAATAATTAGAATTCTATAATATATCGTGTTTAATAATTCGTTTGATATATAAAGACCAAGTTGGTATTTTAATTTGTTCATTCACATTATAATACCATTATATTTTACTCGTGTGTATATTATATTTAGCTTATAAACACTACTATAGCTATAACATTAAATAGTTACTAGCTGTATAAACGACTTTATTAATAACTACCCTTAATAAAGAAAAATGTTTACCTGTAGGAGTCGGTGTGTCTTCTAATCTCGCGATAAACAATATTGTAGGTAGATGGTTATTTCGGTAGTTTCGAAGACTACTGCACCACAGCGTATATGTATTTTCAGAGTGTACTTGAGTATCGATCGATATCAGCACAGTAGCGTAAATTGACTAATAATGTTTTCTTGTTTAACTGTCGTTGATGTCTCCTCAACCGCATGGCGCGGTTCGTCTCGACATGATAGTCATTGATGCATAGGGATAGACGATCGTTCTGTTTTTTCAAACCTAACGGATTTCATAAATTATACCATTAAAAAATAAATATTTAAGTTACAAAATTAAAAACACTCGAAAATCTTTGTATTATACACTTGAATACCAATGGAACCTACACGGATAAAAAAAATAAATAATTTATTTATAGTTTCTACCTCATTTATATTATGTTTGTGATTTTAACACGACATATTTGCTGCAGGTTTGAAAGAATTTAATTCACCCGATTCTCGGTCATAATTAATGTGAAATTAAATTCCTGGTGTGTATAATATATGATAGGCATATTTTCATTCGATAATATAATAAAACATTAATTGTATATTGTCGGATCGTTCGAAGTCTCGACGTTTAATCCGCACCTCAATAAATATAATATGTATTCTGCGACTTACCTGCACGCGGAAAAATCGACGTCCAACAGAACTGCACCGAATCGGTATATATTATACTATTATTTATAAATAATACCGGAAAATGGCACGATGCACGCGCGACTATCCGGCGTTATGATTATTACGTACGATAATAAACCTAACAATAAAATGTATAGATATTTATTATATTATAATATTTTTGTTATCGTCGAAACGGCGCGCGATGTGTACAGACGTGAAAAACCTCGGACGTGCGCGTAAACGGTTTTCTTCAAATCTAATAACGGATATTAAATCCTAGACCCGCGTGAACGTGCGAAAAACGAAAATGAGTAAAAAATCAGACTCAGAAGACGGTACGTACAAGTGCGCGTGCAGAAATCGGCGACGGCGACGGAGACCGAATCAATGACCCGTTGTTCCGGACGGACCGGTGGCGATTGTGTGACGCTGCGGCGCGGCGAACGATAAGTACAGTGTATTCTACCGGCGACTCGCGTATCGTGTGTGCGCGGACTGCTGCGGCAGCTGTGCAACGATGTTTATTCTGTTATAGTGGTCGCGCGCGCTGCAGGATCGTCGACGGGAATTATCGTTACAGCGGCGCGTCGCTTTCCTTCTGTGCACGTTTGATGACCGACGGCGCGCGCGGAGTCGTCGTCGTCGTCTCCGCGGAAGACGATGGAACAGGACGTATATATTATTATACACCGCTGTGCAGCAACTGGCGAGGGGAGGCGGAGGCCGCGTCAGCTGATCGCCGCCCGCGCCCAGTATTATTTGCCCACTCCTCGAGCGCAAGGTTGCGGCCGCGAGCCACTGCAGTAAGTAACGAGAAAACATATTATACCGTAGGTAGGTAGGTACCTATACCTATATAATAATATATTGATACGAGATGTGTATGATGACGTTTATGCGGCGGTGTTCTCGATTCATTGCCGCAAACGTGGGGTTCAAATTTAGCCCACTCCCCCAAATCCGTAAAAATATTGTGACGTATGTCTTATTCCGACTGTCCGCGGGATGGTGTTATACGTAGTAGCGTCAAGTTCGTATCAAAACGATGTTACGTACCCCATATAATAATGTAAACATTGAAAGCGAACCGCGAAGCAACCATCAATATGTTCCAACGCGCTCGAAAATAGACTGCTCCGCGTCTGTACATAAATAATGATATGTGTCATTATAATCTATTCTGTTAAATTTAACATTGTAATTCATAATTAATAGCAAACTTAATATGATATAATATGTTTATTTTCTAGAAAAGTTTTTGTAAAATGTTGTTATTATTATTTAGACCGTTTGCAAGGAAGAGGGTTAGGCGCATATAGGATAATTAATTTCGTCAAAAAATTATAGGACTCACAAGTACTTTTCTTGTTGATTTGATTAAATTCAATGCAATAAGCATATTTTAAACATACGCCCGTCGTAAACTTTTGATATTTTATTAAAAAATAATAGGTATAACATGATTCTCGAGTAATTGGGAAGTAAAATTAAAAACTCTTAAACAGCAAAAAAGAGGTCTTGTCTACTTTTTTGACCGAACATACTGTAAATTTTGAATTTTATCAGAAGTGTTGTCATATTAATTGATTTTCGTCTTTAAAATTATGTACAACGTTCCTAACACCTGCGGATTCCTCTAAGGGAGTACCTAGGTACTTTGTAAACTAATTTTATTTATTTATTTGTTTTGATCTCGTATTTAGATTTTTTTTTGATTCTTTTAGATATAAACTTCATTCATAAATCATTGATAATATATTGTAAAAAGATAAATTTTAAAGGTATAAATTCATAATAATAGACTATTTGATAACTATAATACTCTATAACTACTGTAATTAATAAGAAAAAAACTACAAAATAAATGAGGTTCATAACTTCTGATAGACTATATTGACTAAAGGACATAACTCTTGTTAATGGGTCATTTTCTATTACTCTGGTTTCTAGATATTTTATTCTTACTGAAGCTAAGTAAAGTAGAGTCTTGTGATCAGGGTTTTCCCGGGATCCGAAATTTTATATCGCACCACAATCCGGATGAATCCGATGAATCATTCATTACATAAATCAAATAATTAAAAAATTTACTATTAGTCATATTATCATTACCTACTTTCACTAAGTGTAGAATGCAAATACGTATATTAAATACCATTAAATTTCAAATTAGGAAATGGGACTTTAGTTCGATCTAATATAGCATGAGCATTTAAAAAATAAATAAACATCACTACATATTTAAATAAATAAACTTAATACAAAATATTTTTAACAATTATTTTAAATTATGCGAGTATCATCATATTATAATACTAATAGTTTATATCTTGTAAAAAAATACTCAAAATGTTAAAATTTTTAATCAGCAATGAAAACCATGCCTAAATATCATACCTCATAGGTATCATTCAAAAATTAAGTGATTAAAATAATTTTATTTTTCTTTCAGTTTCTAAAAATGTCATAATATCCTTTTCAGTATATTTAGGATCGATGAGTCTTTTATCTAGTTGTGTTCATAGACATAATAAATATATTATATCATAAAATAAATAAAATAATATTAACACTGGACATGCTCTGTTTCACAGAACATACCATAACTTATGACATGAATCGCCAAAATACTGACCATGGTGTCTAAGTATTATGGTAAACACAATAATGTAATTTTGGTAAACTAAATTCGTAGCATTGAAGACACACAATATTACCTATGTACATTTTTTCTCTATATTTACTACTCCAAAATATTTAATTTAACTACTGCGATAATTCGTATAGACTTTTTGGTGGAGGGGCTCTAATTGCATCATATTCGTCGTCATCGTCGAAATAATATAATATTCCGGTAGATATACTACAGTCGCGATTATGTACGCGCACGCACGCACAAACACAACTCACATATATATTATATTGTATTAATAATAGCAATACACACACACACACACACACCATGTACTTACGTACGTCAGTTCGTATATAATAATATAAGACATTGGGTGTACGTGTTTGTGTATGTGTGTGTGTGTGTGTTCTCTTCCATTGGTCGCTTGTATAGTAGGGGGAATGAACTTTTCAGACAATATACCGACCGCCGCCGCAGTCATCGCTACTGCGATCGTCTTGTAACTGCGTACCTGTATACAGAATCTATACGCACTAGCAACGACCAAGACGACTTCACACACAGACACACGTACCTACTCATTCGCGTGTAAGTATACTTGTGTTCTGCTTGGAATCATCTCGCGAAAAAAAGAGACGACGGGCACAATAAAAAAGTTATAGATAAATAAATGATAAAATAAAAAAAATCTCCAAACAAAATGCACACAACCGACGCAACAAGTACCCATGTACAATAATATAATATATATCACGTTATAACATTGTATACAAACCGTTTGCATCGCGTTCTACGAATTGCCGTACGTTGTATTTCTATATATATATATGATGTATATTACATAATCATATATATTATATTATGTAACGTAACACATTATTCGCAACAACCTTGCGATAAATCACCAAGGGTTGATTAATTATTAGCAAATGCATATTGTTTTATATTTGGGTTCTTTGAATTTAAATACCGAACCTTCCGTATTTTGATCAGTATAAGCTAACAAATTTAAATTGATTGCGCTTATTTGTATCTATAAATTATTAAATTCTCTAAACATGTATTTTTTATTTTTTTTGCGTAATATAGTAATTTATATGCACTACGTATGAATATTTCATAAAGTTTTCTGTAATTGAAGTAAACTGTAAGAGATCATTTAGCAAAATAAAAATTTTAAGATCATGTCTCCGTTCTAATAATTTATATCTAGAAAGCTTAGAAACATCAATAATATTATGTTAATAAAGCGATAATTGTTAAAAGACTTCAATATTTCTCTGAAGTTCAATAGTAGTTTAAAAACACCACATGTTTAATATATAAAATGTTATCCTAAATGACCTTAACTTATATTATATTTTGTGTCTAATCAAAATTGATAATAAATTGTTTACACTATATAAACATTGATTTATTTTCCTTATTTAAAAATAATAACTCGATAGAAAATAATTATGGAGATATAAGTAAAAGTTTTTACCTATAAACTAACAATATGAATTAATATAATAGGTTTAGATAATTAAACTTAATTTAATAAAAAATTGTTTAGGTATTTAATGGGAATTTTGCATACATATATATAAATTGATAATACCTAATTATTTATTTAAGGGTTCGCCAAATTACAGTACTTTAATTAATTGTAAAAATGAATTTTTGTTTTAAATTATTATATTCTTCGACAATACAAAACACTTATGTATTATTGTATACTGCATGTAATTTTATAAAAAAACATTATTATTAAGTAGTTTTGGGTCGGTATATTTCATCTCTACGTGGACTAATATATTATCAGTCCGTTTTTGATTCATTTATCACAGAGAGAGGATTTAGGAGGTTATTCCGTCTATATACAGAGCATTAATAATTATATACCTACCGGCTACCAATTTATATTTTCTTGAGATTTAAAAAAAAATGAAAAATTGCTATAATATTATTTAATTGTTCAATGGAAAGACGAAAGTATATTTGATATAATTATAAAGATAAAATATATTATAAAAATATAAAACTTCTGTGATATTCATTATATAATTTCAGAATCAGTAATTAGTGACATTATTTTCGGTTATAGTAAAACAAAAAACATAAAAAGAATATTATTATTTGAATTTTTTTTTATTTATCCTATTTTCAAATGTATGATATATTTTTTCAAACAAAAAATAAATTAAAATTTTAACATTATTATGATTTTATATAGGTAATTATTCTTTATATAATTCTATTCCTATCCACAAAAGAAATCTTTAAATACACTACAGTCTATAATCTATAAATGCAATAATCATATTATTATTATTATAATATTGTACAATATTAATATTTGTTTTTCTTACTCTTCATAATAAAGTTCTTTTATGTTAGGTATGTCTATCTTTAAAAATATTTATTTTTGTTAACCTTAAAATTATTTTTAAGGTAGGTAATAAATAATAATAGGACTATATAAGTTGTTATTATTTGGTGCTTTTTTAATTTAATTGAGATATATTGTTTTTGGCGTGTCGCATTATAAGAAAAACTGACGTATAAGGAAATTTACGACTGTGAATATTACAGAATTCTGCTCTGTAATATAAAATAACCAACAAAGGTAATTTAATTAAAATATCAATAGCAGACTCGTATTTATAGGTGAGCAAGAGTGGACAATTTTTTCTGTTTGAGTGTAGTAAATTTGTATGACCTTTTTTTTGTTTATACAACTGTAGTAGCTTATGTATTGAATTCTCAAATTTTAGGTATAAATTTAAAAATGAACTATGTTTATTTTTGTTAAGATAATAAAATGTTGGTCTATTTCTTCACTCATTTGACATAAAAGGTATAACTAATTAACTATTTTTTTTAAATTTAATTTTTATGTATCGAAGTACCTACTCTCAAAAATATCTTGCTTAGGATTATTATTATTATTATACCGTATGTTCATCAATTTAGAGAACATTGAATTTCTCGCCGGATAAAATTGGAATAAATCGATTTTTTTTACAATCTAGTCACTAGTGATATATAAATACACATTTGTAAATAAATTTCAACATTTTTATCATTTCGGTATGCGCATACGCAATAAAAATATTTATTTTTTTAATAGCGAAACCTATTTTGAACACTATATTCGGATAGGCTTAATTTTTTTAAGTAATTTTGATATATCAACTATGGTTCTAAATTAAAAATTGACTGAATAAAAGCCATTTATTTTTTAATAAGTAAATACATTTTTACGATTCATTTAAGTGCATGAAATCATTTATAATTATTTATTATTGGTTAATTTTTTAATGTTTTTTATTATTATTATTATTATTATACATGTTATAAATAAGACCTATTTAATGACCAGCAAGATCTCCAGATAATTCTCCATTTGATTTTTTTTATAGGGAATTTAAAAACGATAGTTTACAAAGATACACTAGTCGGTCTTGGATATTTAAAAAGCAAAATCGTGGTTGCGTGTATTGTGTAATAACATAACTAAAAGTCAGATATTGTCAGCAACTAATAGATGATATCTACAACGACTTCAATTATGCGTAGAAAATAATGGAGGAAACTTTGAACAATTTATTTAATAAATTGTATGATAATAAAATTATTGTTATAAATAATATTTAATAAACAAATGTACGATATATATACCTATATTATGTAAATTGTATTTATAACACGTATAAAAAAATAAAAATAAAATACGTTAAAACGTTCAAAAATTAACCAAACGTTTATACACTACTTTTATTTAAGTTATTAAATGTAATTATACACAATTATGGTAACATGTCAAAGAGTTTTACTTATTTATTATAATAAATAAATAAATAAATATGAAATTAAAAATGAACGTTGTCATTAAAAAATAAAAATTTAATAAAAGTCTTAACTATAAAAATCGTTAAATATAATTTTAAATATTGTTTTGTAAAGGCATAAAATGTATACAAAAATTATATTTTTGAAATTATGTGTAAATACTCAAATTGATCGATCATCTTATAAATAGTTATATATAACTGTACTAAGTAGGTCCTCTACCTAATTTATTGATTTAAAAAATGTATTTTTGATAACTATATAACTAGAAATTTTATTCTATTAAAAATTGAAAATTATTAGATACTAAAAATATATTGATAGTAATGTATTTTTGTATATGATCGATTTATTGTTACAAGCATTCAAACTCAATAAATTATAATAACAATTTTAAAGGGCTAAGTAGACAATGTCCATGATTTTTCAATACACTTTAACTATAATTATTAATTTTATTAGCAATACCATTTTGTCCACACTATTTCGACTCTATACTAATATTAGGTACATAATTCTGACTTACATTTTATATACTAAGTGGAGTGATAATGTATTCATTTTAAAATGATATGTGGTTTTTTTAATTTTTTTTTTTTTTTGTATCTGTCATCATTTTTTGGGACCTTATTTGATTTGATTTTAAACTTTAAGTGTAGTTTCTGATAGGAAATTTTAACTTATTAGTACTTTGAAGATCAAAAGTAAAAAATTTCCAATACTTAACAAAATAATTTAGTAAAAACAAAACAAAAAAAAAAATAAGGAAAAACGAGAATTTTTACATAAACCCGCAATTTGATTGAATTAATTTTATTTTTTTGGTGTCACTTAATAATGAAAAAATAAATAACCATAGACATTTTTACTGAATGTTTATTTTAGTATTTTTTATAAATGATAACATTTTCAGAATATTTTAAGCCGAAAAGTTACATAAAACACTTACATTGCTAAAAAATATAAAATAAATGATTATATGTGAATACATTTTTTATGTGGCGCGTGGGTTAAAGAAAAAATTATTAATAGGTAGCTAATGCACTAATATAATTTAACGAATATAGATTTGTTGAAGATCAAGAAATAATTACTGTCACCATTTGTCAACAAATAGTAAATGTATTCCAATATATTATAATAGTTAGTTAGTCAGTATTTAACTAATTTATGCTTAATTATTTTTTCTAAATTTTATTAGACGAGAAAAATATTAACATGAAGGTCAGCGGTATATAAAGTTAACATTGTATAAAATGTACATAGAGTATGATAAATTATATAGCCAATTTCATCACTTGTACGCCTACCAAAAAATTTTTTTTATAGATTTTGCAGAAAACATACTGCGTGGAATTGGCTATAATTATTAATGTCATCATTAATAACTTATATAAATAACCTATCTAATTTGTCATGGCTTATATTATATAGGTACCTGCAGAGTGCAGAACTACCTTAAGTTAATTTACGAGTAATATCAGTACGGCAGTACCCTTATATCAATTTTTTCTTGTCAAATAAAATTAAAAATAGGTTACCTATACATTATTACTATAATACAATCATAGTATTATACATTATTATTAAATATTGATTATACCGAATAATCACAATAACGACGATGGATAAATAGACAATACAGATTTAGCTAGGTACTACCGAATCTAGGACATTTTTCTCGCGATAATTTTTTCCTATATAAATTAGTAATAGCATGTTAAAGCATTCATTTATACATAATAAAACATACTTTTTAATATATACTAAATTAATCCTGTAAGCAGATATATCGTGTGAAAACAAAAGATTAAAAAATAGTTATAAAAGGTACCTATATAATGGGTATTATATATATTAATATGCATCTATTACTCATATGTTACCTAATGATCAAGATTCTGTTTATAACTTGTGATTTTAAATAATTTAGAATTTTATTTTTATCAAAATTATCACCTTATTTCCAATTTATCATGAAATGAAATCTAACAATTTTAACTTAATAATAGATCACCAATTAGCAATCGGTAGTATACCATCATAAAGATTACATACCTACACAGATAAATTAATATAAAATGTAAGAATTAATCCTCGACACTAGTATACTATTATTAAATTATATGTTATGGGCAATGTATAGGAAATTGGGTATTGTGCACAGTACTCGAACTGTACACAATGCTCGATTTAGTGTTCAAAGTGAAAATAAAACACATTGTTTAGACATCGTTTACAAAGAACGAATCCGTGTAGGACAATATGAACTACCAAATAAAAATAACTATATTTCTATTGTAAAAAAAAACAATATATTAATTAATTATTTATTATTTTATGTTATCATCAAGTACCTATATTTATTTATTTCAGCACAAACTATACGTACCTGGCACTTCCGAGTTATTTGTACAATTAGGTACCCGCTGCTTTGCATTTATACCTAACATTTTGTAAGACAAAAATACATCTGTCGTTCCTTTTCCACCTTAGTGACAATTGTGACGAATAGCCTTTCTTAAAGAAATTATGTTTTGATTAACTTCGCTGATAAACATAATAGACTTCAAGCACAATATTTATTGATTTTGGTTAATTCAAATTATAACTGTACTTTTTAATTTTTATAAATAAAAATAATATTGAAAACGTTCACTCCAAGTAGTACGAACACGCCGATTAACACAAGTACCAACATAGTGACATATCACTCAATTTATTTAAGACAAATACCAAATACCAATAGTATTACCGGTAAACGAAGACCATCACAAATTCACAAATCACAATAACTGTTATTAAAATATTAGGTATCAGTGAAATATAAGATAGTATCATAAAAGCAATATTCAAATACATATCACCAAATTTAACCAATGATATTACTACTGAATTATTTACATTGGTATTTTAAATCATATTAAATCTAATAGAGCGTAGTTAAAATATTTACCAGGTATAGTAAAATATTATTTCTATAATTATAATTTAAAAACAAAAAAAAAATTGTTTTTAAAAATATTTGGTATACCTAATATAAAATACAATGTATGTATTGTATCTTTGATAAATTATTTAAATAGTCAATAAAGTAATAATTTGTATAGTAAAATTTAGAGTTCACATTACCCACAACTCAAAAATACGTCGGCCAGTTCAAACTGCCCAGTGATTGTAATGTAATAAAATAACTAATATCTATGATTACCGCAGATTGGTAGATAATAGTAAACAGTAATTAAATACTTTTTATACTTTGTCTAAATTTGGCGAGCCTTGTTTACAGTGACCGGCCACTTAACTTTGTCCATAGACCGTAATACATGAAATAGAGTTTTATTTTTTATTAGTTTTTAGTGCATATAATGGAAACGTCCTACTCCGGGGGGGGGGGGGGGGGGGGTTTCCATACCACCAAAAAATTCTTTAAGGAAAATATCCGTATGGCTGTAGATATATTACTGTGCTGATGCCGATCGGAAAACCAGCTAGTAATAGATAACTGCAGATACGTTATACGTACGTTTTAATTTCCTAACACATAGTGGCTAATACCAGTAATAGGTACCTACTTAAAATTTATAAGAAATATCAAGTGCATAGGTACATCTATTTATTATAAGATAGGAATTTTGATGTAATGACGATTTTTTTTTCATTTGTAATTGAAAAATTTATTTTAGGTATTAATATTTTTATTTTGCATTTTTGAAAAATTCAACTAACAAAACATTTTTTTTAATAACTTAATTTTGAAGAGGCGTAAATGTTGTAATACAATAATTGTATTAAATGTATTGTTTGGAATGAAAACCCGCATAATATTGGTGGCTCGTGGTTATTGATTTATTGTTATCACATCACAGAGATTAGATAACAAGGTGAATGTTCTTAAAGATGATAAAAATATAAAGTACAATATTTGTGATATAATATTAATTACAAAACATAACGATCGAACTAAAAATGTATTAAATCGAACAATAAATCTATAATTATACGTCTTGTAAACACTAAGAATAAAAGTTATGTATCTATTTAACAGTCAAAATCTTACGTTTGTGAATTGGAAGCAAAAAATGTGGACTTTCATTTCCAATTTTGGATAAGTACCCAGTTTGTTGCAACCATCGGTAGGTGTATCATATTATGTTTACTATAGTTCTATTAACTAATAGCTAATATAGTAATATGCATGAACAATTATACTTTAACAAATTTATTTGTAAATCATAAAAGTGTCTAGAAAATTATTTAATCTGTTATATGTATTGTTATGATGTGTTCCTTGATTAGTATCATGTTAAAATATTATTTCTTTTTACAATAACACAGTTATATGTTTGTTCCTGTGGGCTGTGAGTTATTAAATTAACTCTGAGTTATCCATAAAAAATAACTGTTTTAGTCTAATTAAAACTATACAATTTTATTACTTGTAGGTAATCAATATCATTTAAATTTTCTAATTACAGAATATGAAACAAATTTTTAATAGTTAAAAAAACAAAATTATTACTAAAAATGAAATGTAGTAGAACTTTTCGTTCTTGTATAATATATGATAATAATAATCAAAACTGACTCGTATCTGACTATTGCTGTCATATTTAATATTAAAATGTATTTTTTATTATTTAATTCTTTCTTCATGGTTTTGCTCATTTTATTAAATAATATTGCCTTCTTTAGATTAATAATTTTAGTGACATACTCTTATAATTAAGTAATTAAACTTGTTTTCTTTCTATTAAGAAGTAAAAGTATAGTTTATTATTTTACTATAAAATTATTATTTGAATAAAATTAATTAATTAAATTCACAATTTTTTATTTAAATAAAAATCAATTTTTTCATTAATAATTATCATTGACTAATTAATAATAATGATGTACCTACAAATTTTAACATTTAAAATAAGTTTGAAATAAATTATGACTAGAGCTCAGATTTATATGCACTAAAAAGTATCAAAATATACTATATAATATCATTGATTATATAATATTATATAATCAATGATAATATGAATTAAAAATTATGAAAATATTCAAGAATTTTTTTTTTATTTATGTAAAAATATAAAATTCAGAAATTAAACCTCTTATAATAATTAACTACTTAAATATTTAATGAAAAATTTTTGCTTTAATATGCAATACATTTCAAATTTTGTAAAAATATGCATAAAAACAAATGTCACCATTTGATTCAAGTTATTCTGATTCGTGAATATAACTGACAAAAATTCAAAAAAATGAAAATAAAATAATATGTGATTGCATAGAAATCCATGCTCTAATTATGATTTATACATTACACTTTTATTTATTTTGATTCTCTAAGATTGGCTAAATAAAAATTAAGATTATTTTTTATAATACATTATGTTTCACGGTGAACTAACAATTACAATAACTTTTGTTCTATTAAATATTTTCAACTTTTTTATTTTTATTATCAATTGTCATCAGCACTACATTTAAATTAATTTTTCGATTTTTTTTTTTTAAATTTTTTATATAACATTAAGAAATTAAAAAATTTCTTTTTTATATTTAAAAAAATCAAAATAATCATTTTTTTGATTATAATTTTTAAAACATGTTCACAAAAAAATGAAAAATGTTCAGCCGTTTATTTGATTTTTTGAAGTTTGCACTATTTCATATTATTTTAAATAGATTTTCTGAATAATTGATAATTAATAATTGTTGTAATACTGATAAACAAGAAATAAATTTTAATTTAAGCAAACTTTAAAAATTGTTTAAAATTATTGACTTAACCTTAGTAAAAGTTTTTGACACCAAAATGTTTCTAAAAATTGGATTCACAAATTAGCTATCTTGATTGTTATTAATATAAAATAAAAAATTTTTAACTTTTGTTAGTTTTGCATACATAATGTTAAAAAAAAAAATCGAAAAAAAAAGTTGAAAATGTTCAATAGAACAAAAATTATTGCAATTATCAATTAATCGTGAAACAATCTGTATATTGAAACATAAACCATCTAAATTAATTATCAAATAATATTGCTTTGAAACAAATTGTGTTATACAATTTATGTTACATTTTCTTTATTTTTTAAGATGCTTACTAAGTTTTAACTATGTATAGTTAACTTAATATCTACAATTAATATAATATTATATGTCAAAAGGAATTTGAAAAAAAAATTTGAATCATGATGGGCACACTAACTGGGGATACTTCACGTCGTCGAATAGCAGCACTGTCATTTTTAACGAATATATCTCTAGATGGCACTCATAAGGATACTAACAAATTACTTTTCATCAAAAACAATATGTATCATCATCAAAAGTCTGAAATGGAGTTTCCGTCACTTCCTGACATAGGAATGACAAATGAAGAGAATACATTCAGTGAAAATGACATCATCTTGAAACAAATGGATATTGAATTTCATGGTCCTGTAAGATTGACAAAAACACGGTCATTAACATCCACACCAATAAAATTAAATACAAATGATAAAAATAGTATTGATAAATTTTTTGAATCGGATTCAGATAAGAATTCTGGAAGAATACCATTTCGTGAAAGGTGATTCTATTGTTTTTTATGACTAATTATTATTGAATATATTTTTCAATAAAAGAAATTAACATTTCTAGACTTAACACAACTGGAAGTGATGTAACTATGGAATCAAAAAAAATGGCTGCCTACTATCGTAAACGCATGATTCCTCAATCTTTATTATCTGATGATAAAAGTAACATAAATTTCAGCAGTTCTGAAAGTCTTGGCTTAGGTAAAAATATATGCTTATAAAGATATTTTATATATTTTATAAAACAGTAATCATTTTCAGTCACAATAATATTTAATTATACTCAGTTTTTTTAAAGTATATAAATAATTGTATTTTTATTTTATAAATTTCAAGACTAGTTAAATTTATTTCTTTATAATTACTTAAACATATAGACTTCTCAGGATTGTTTTAAAACAATACTAATATATTTACCATACATAATATTTGAAACCCAAACTAAATTACCTGACTGTAATTATTATTATTGTAATAATATTACATAAAATATTTTGTGGAGTGTTTCATATCATTATTCACATACATTTTAACCAAATCGTATTAACATTTATTTATTAAATGTTTTTTATTAAGCAGTATAAATGGTTGCGAATAAAAGTTTTAAATTTATTATTCTGAACCAAGTAATCTTTTGATTATATTCTCATCGTTAAAAAAAAAAAATGTTATTGTAGTATACTTATTTATTAAGGAGTTTAAATGCTTTATAAGGAATTAAAATTTTAAAATATATGAAATAATAATTTTAAAAACCAACTACTAGTTTCTTAAGAATATATCTTTGTTTAACTAATTACAATGTCTGCCTAAGTATATTTGACAAGTATTAATTCAATTTAACTACAGTTTAGAAAAATTTTAATGAAATATATTTAGTTGAATAATGTTTTACCAATAACAAATGATCAAAATAATTCAAACAATAATAATTTATTATTTTAACGCATTAAACTAAGCTTTAAAATGTCAATAGATTTAATAATTTCTTAGTTGAAATTTATACTCATAATGGAATTTTTTTGATATAATGTTGTATAAAAATAAATTGATTTATTAATTAAATGAATGATAATAGATAAATATCAAGTATTAGGCTAAACTAAAAATTATTTGATACATATTTAACTAATGATTAATTAGTTTGTATAAAAAATTACAGCTTTATATAAAAATAGTACTTTGCTTCAAGAAAATAGTTCTTCAAATCAATCTATGGATATTAGAGTTGTACGTCCAACATTACAACATCGATTCAAAAATGAACGTTTAGTATTAGTCACTCCACAGAAAACTCCATTCCTTGTTTATTCGCTAATACCATTCAAAAGATCTAACAGAACCATAATGTTTGTACCAAGTTTTAATAATTATGCAATAAATATTCAATTATTTTTTAATTAATATAATTGTAGTGTGCGATGTGAACAAAAAAAAGAACCAAATCGTAGAAGACAAACATCTGGAACTCGCCCTTTATCTGCTGTTAATGATATAATTGATGCGTTTGATCTTTTTGGATTAGAAAAAGGCAAAGATGGACAGGTACTGTTCAAAAAATAAATAATTAATTAATTAGATTATTAGGTAATATTTATTTTAATATTTTCTTTAATACAATAAGTATAAATTTTCATTTGCCATTATTATGAAGCTTATCAATATATTTATTTTTCATACTTAGGTATAATTAGTTTTAACTTTCATGGCTTGTACCTCAAGTCAAAATATTTATTTTTTTCTTGGTTTCACCAAAAATTATAGGAGAATAAGTTTCAAAAATATTTCTGAGTTATGTATAATTTATGTTATACTTCAAAGCTATAGCGATATTACACATAATTTTTCGATAAATGTGTAAAACGTGTTGTATTATTGTGAAGCTAATAAAAAAATTAGAGTTTATATAAACCAAAAGTATGATAAATTTAATAATTGTCATAAGTTAGTATATATTTGTTTAGAAAAACATTTAAGCTTTTTGCAATACAGTTGTTGTTCATTTAAAATATTATTGACATGAATAAGCATGTTTGTAATCTCCTTATAATAATAAATTTTTTGTATGCTTGTGCATACTAAGAGGATTTTACATATAATGCTCCTTGTGCTTACTGCAAATTTCACCAATTCACAAACTGTTATTAATGCCTATAATAATACCAGTATATAATTGTTTTTACTTATATAATATACTTATAAATATATGCACTTTTTTATAGTAAATAATTTATTAATTCATTTTTAATCTAAAAAAACAAATAAAAATATTTAAATTGAACTAAGTAAAATACATTATTTTAGAACAGGTGTAGAACAAAAACAAATACTTAGTTACTTACATTAAGTTACAAAGATTGATGTAATGTTATTAAATAGAAAACATATGATTATTTTATAATTAACTTAATTTACTTAATAAGATTTCAATATGTATAGTTCAAAAAAAACTTTTTTGATCATCATGAAACAATAGTTAAATTATTTATTTATTTTAATACTTACATTGAATACATTAACAGTGTTTCCTAACCTATGGGTGGTTGCTGTTGGTTTACCAATTCTCTAGGAAAATATCTTAGTAATAAAAAATAAAAATAATATAAATTGAAAAAAATTCTCAAGTTACATTTTAAATGATACCTGTATGTTCAATAATGATGTGAAATAAAACTAGTCTAGGATATACTCGTAGGTACCCTTTATATTTATTGTAACTTAAATATTATTTTAGAAACGATAATGGGAAATTTGTAATATTTTTGATAAATTTGCTAATAATTATAGTTTCATTATGTCCTTGTGCCATATATACTGATATAGTTATATGTCAATTGTCCATATAGTTGAGTTGGAGCAATACATTAAAACTAAGAGAGTAAAAATTAAATTAATTTTATTATTATATTATGTAAATGTATATTTTATTTTTATTTTGAAATATATCTGAATATTTTGGTTTAAAAATAATCTTTATGGTTAACAAAATGAAATATTCATTATTTAGTACTACATTATATATTAAAATAAAATGTTAAAATTACCTATGCTCTATAATAAAAATGGATATTAATGTTGTTACTATATTGTGGAATATTTGATTATTATTTATTTATTTTTTTTTGTATATTTTGGAGGTTGCCTACCCAATAAAGATTAAATTTGTTGGTATAAAAAAGGTTGGGAAATACTGCACTAGATTACTAGAACACAAAAAATTCTCAACTGGCTAATAATCAACTTCTTAATTTTTTTTATCAAATTTTAAACTGCTTTTTTAATTGTATAACATTTACAATAATTTGTGTTGTTTATTCTTTATTCTTATGAGTTCCAACAAAAATCATCCAATATATATTTCACATTCATATTTTGTTTTTACACTAAACTCAATTTTAACATATAAAATAATAAAATGTCATAATCGCTTATGTTAAATTATTTTTTTTATATATATTCATATCTATATTCTATAATATAACATTTTTAAGTAAAGTTTAAATTGTATTTTGTTTAATTTCTTAAGAGGAATATCATTTTATAATACAGAATTATTTAAATTTATGTTAAATTGTTTTTATTTAAACTATGATTTCTAATCAGATCACATTTTTTTCTTTATATTTTATAAACATAATCTAAACTATTGTTATTAAAATTTTTTGTTTTTTATTCTTAATACTCTTTTTGAATTACAATTTTAACTTATCTGTTGTGACCTTATTATTAATTTATAAGAGTATCGGTTATTTCTATGATAAATAGTAAGGTTTTAATCGATTTTAGGAAATATCATACAGCCATTTATTAGTTCCTTCGCGAATTGTTGAACCCAAGACCCCAATTGAAGATATGATGTTAGATACTATTCAGACAAAATCGCATACTTTAAGCAGGTAAATATAATTAATTCATAAATAGTTGTGGTTATTATAATATTCTTATGTTCTTAAATTATATTTAAATTATGTTAACATTAAAATTGTACATTTTTACCAAAATAAACTTGAACATTTTTATCATTCATTTTTTTTTTTTTTAGTCAATTTTTATAATATTAGAAAAACATAAAACTAGTGACAAAACTAAACTGTGGTTCTATTTCTCTATTTTACCATACAATATTAAACATTTTTACAGAAAAAAAAAATGTTTTTTTATAATAATATAAAAATATATTAACTATAAATTTTATTACTTTTATTATCTAATTTATAATAATATATTAATTGTAGTAATTCTGTGTTATATATTTAGTACATACTAAATTTATTTAAAAATGTATTGGAAAGTCTTTATATTATTTTAATTTATTTTTCTTATTAATTGTTTAAGTTTACTTCATTAAAACCTTTAAAACTATTTATTATAGATAGTTATTCTCGTTATTATAAATTTTAAATAATTAAATTTAATTATTAATTTTGTTAGCATTTAAGCCATTTATAGATAATTTAATTACATTAAAATATACTATTAGAAATAATTTAAAAATAATAATTAACTTTTTAATTTTTAACTATGTATTATTTTGTTTAAGATGTATTTCAGCTGATGTTCCTGAAAATGCAGTAATTGGTTCTGGTACTTACAAAATGTGCACTGTTCAACCATCATCATCGCCTCCACAAAGTGATTTGATAAAAGGTAATTAATAATCATGAATAATTGTGTAATGAAAATGTCTTATGAAGTTATTTTATTTTTTTTTTTAACACTTAATTTCTAATATATATTTTTAGTTACTAATACTGAACAAGATGAAAATGGAACGGCCTTGTTTTCTCCAAATATTCTTGATGACCCTGAGTTTTTTGCTGGAAAACATAGAACACTTTTAACATTCATATCTTACATGGTAAATATATTTTGGTTTATTATTTTTTATATTTAGAATATTGTACTGTTAACTATTTGTTTTACTTAAAATATTATCTAACTATACATTCATTGTAATATTTTAAAAGCTACATCCTTATGACTGGTATACTTCGCCAATGTTTGATACTAGTGATTTGTGATTTATATCCTTTTACAATTATCAATGGCTCATCAATGACTGTCATTTAAGTCAAAAAAACCAAATCAAGATCAATATATTAATGAATATATTTTTTAAATTTACTATTTTTCAGAAAATTTGATGTACAAATTACTTTTTCATTTAATATTTTATACACTTTTAACAAGTACGCATATTGTGGCAAATCAAATTTACGTATATAAATATTAATAATTGTTAAACGTAATTAATAATAAGCTGCAATCTTAAAATTAATATTAATATTTAAATTTCTAACTATATTCTATCTAATAGAGAATACACTTATTTGATGCATTCCTACTGACATCCTGTCATCAAGATTTGTTTCATTATGGCAGGGTTTTATGTAAAAATATGTAGAAAAACCAATTTTAAAAATTAAATATGTTTCAAAATACTCTTGTATTAATAGGTATCTATTATTAAATATAAATATAACATTAATATTTTATTGTTTGAGCTATTTTGAATCATAACAGAAGTTTAAAATACATCTATAATATTTGTTGTATTTCAGACATCAATTATTGATTATGTACGTCCAGCCGATCTTAAAAAAGAATTGAATGATAAATTTCAAGATAAATTTCCACATATTGAACTAACATTAAGTAAACTCAGAAGGTAATTGATTTTAAATTAGAAACATACACATCAATTAACATATTATTATAATTTATATTGGTTTATTAAATATTTAAATTTTCATTATTTTTTTTAGTATTAAACGAGAAATGCGTAAAATTACAAAACCAGATGCTACTTCAGATTTGCTAACTATAGCACAGGCCTACGTATTTTTTGAAAGATTATTAGTCAAAAGTTTGATCAATAAGGAAAATCGTAAACTATGTGCTGGAGCATGTATTATTTTGTCTGCAAAGTTAAATGATATGAAGGGTGAACCTTTAACTAATCTTATTGAAGTAAGTTACTCATCAAACTGTAACGTCTTAATATTTTTAAGATCACTTATTTTTTTTTTCTTATTTATTTATTTAATACCGCAGAATAATATTTAAGCCCTTAAAACTTTGCATTTATATCCAAATTAATGTTATGAATAAGGCTATAAATTAAATTATTATACACCAATAATTTCATTTTAAAGTCGAAATTTTTCATAAATAATTTTAAGATATTCTAAGTGGGAAAAATTATTTTACACATTTTAGATGTTATTATATGAGTAGACATTTATAAATTAATTTAAATTGTGTTTTTTTTAAATATTTTTATCAAACATTTGGAATGAAATGGTTTATTTTACTAAATTTTATTAGTATACAAATATCATATTATAGTAAAAATATGAAAAGTTAATTTTACATAAACTTTTTTTTTATTAAAGTTTATCAACATTTTTCATGATATTTATTTTTAATTGTTTAATTTTTATATTTAAAATATGTCATACATACTTATTATTAGTAGCATTTTAGATGTTCATAAATTATGAATTTGAATGCTATACATAAGATTGTCTACTAAATAATCAATTTAACTTATTAATAATTCATAATATTAGAGTGAATTTCTGTATTATAAAATTTAAAGTTAAAAATCATTATCTAATTTATTATACGTGGTTTTTATATTTGTATTTTTAAGCAAGTTATAAATAATAATGGATTTAAATAAATTTTTCTCAATGTAAAATTTGGTATTTTATACATCAATAGAACAATAATAGTACATACAGATACACTACATGTTATTAATATTATTTTAATTCGATCATGTATAATTTAGTTTATAGAATTTTAAATATTATATATATAATTAAAAAATACAGTAGAACCTCGATTATCCGGGGTAATGATGGGGAGACGGTCACACGGATAAATGAAAATCACGGTTAATCAAGACTTTTTATAATAATAACATTTTTTATTTAATTATAATTTATAATTAGAAAAACATAGGTACAATTTCATAATAATGAAATTTTAAAAATTTTGATTCAATTGTAATTAGAAATATAATAATCGATGTACAATATTGCTTATCTTCATATTATTATCGTCAAAAATGTCATTAATACGATTGTCGATATCGAGTATTATGTTTATAAATTTTCTGAAGAGTGGGCACGGTTAATCACAAATACGGATAATCGAGGTTCTACTGTACTAGTCAAAATTGAATTTAATATTAATTGATGATAGATATTCTCAAACGTGAGTGTGTTGTTAGCTTTAATTTTAAATATAACTTCAACATAAATCTATTGAATTACTGATATAATTTTGTTGTATTAATATTAGTTTTTTCTTTTAATTTTTTATTTACTAGTTTTAATTTAATCATATCCTATTTTTTATAGTATTTTAATATCTATACGATAACTAGTAACAAATTTTAATTATTTATTATTTACTTTTATTTTTCAGAGAACTGAAATAGTATTTCGTTTGAGCAGAAAAGATTTAATGGTTTCCGAGTTTGGAGTATTAGTAGCCTTAGAGTTTGGCCTCCATATACCTATTCATGAGATAATGCCTCATTATCAGCGACTATTGTCTGAGTCATGACATAAATACTTAGCTCTAGATATTTTAGAATTGAGTGAAATAGTGGAATTTATTAGAATGAATAAATCTAACTACTTTTAATTAAATGCTTTGTTTGCAATACTTTTATCACTGATCTGCATCATGCATGTTATTTATTTTTATAGTTAAATTTGTTAGATTAACTTGAGTTATTATTGTAATTTAATTTATAATTCTATGTTTACATAGTAATCCTGAATAATATTTGAAACTGTTACCAAATTTTTTTTTTTATGTTAATTATTTTTACTTTACAAGTATTACTATTTATTTATTTTGTAGTTGAGAAAAAAAATAACATTGTTTTATTTATTTTTAATTCATTATAAGTATTTGAAAAAAAAAACAGTATCCAACAACAATAATAATAAATGAAAGGATGTTAAAATATTATAGTTTGTTGTCATTGTCATTTATAAGTAAACCATGGTAAATACATGTACACAGAGATCATACAGTAAAAGAAAAAATAGTATGATTTTCGTTTGTGTGCATTTATTATGTTCTATAAAAGCTCAACTTCTCAGACAAAATAGGACAAGAAATACAATTGACCTTGTGGTATATTTTTAAGATAATTTTACATCAATGTATTAAATGAAGAAATTTTTTAGCAGTAACTATTTGTATACTTTATTGTGTTACAACAAATTTGTACAACAATAATAGTTCTTTTTAGCATTTAAATAAATTTTTATTATATAATTTAATAATAGATATATTTTAATCAAACCTGATAAAAAAATTCACAATATATTATGTTATTAAAAAACATTAAAAATATCTATTTTGCCAGTATGATGAAAACAAAAAATGTATATTTTTTATGTACCTAGTATAATCCTGTAAATATTTATATTCAGTTTCATTGTCTAAATTCTAGCAATGAGCAACTATAACACTTAAAAAGAAAATAATTAAAGTTGAATTTTTTAATGTTACATTTTACTAAACTAATCATTAGGGCTCAGATGTTTATAAAATTGCATATTTTTTCTATTTATTCAATTTAATGCTAACCTGGATACAAATTTAATTCATGTTACACTGAATCAAATAATACTATTTTTATTTTACATATTTTGCATATTTTATGGTTTCATATTTTAATTTCATATTTTGGGATTTTACAAATAAAAAGTATATTTCAGTACATTTTTTTTTTTTTTAAACAATTTAAATAACAAACTATACAATTAATTTCATAATTTGTATGTATAAATTGTATAGGTGGTAACTACAGTCTAAAATCTACCAAGCATTGATGTAAAATATAAATGTTTATTATTGACTTATCGTGTTTGTTCGGAGTTACAGTACTTTATTAGACAAGGTCTAAGATAACATCAGTCGATGTAGAACGAAGCTTTTCACATAACAAAAATTTACTTAACAATAATAGACGCAGTTACAAATTTGAACAAATTAAAAAAATTGTAGTAGTACAGTATAACGCTAATAATGGTAATACCTAATTAATTAAAAAATAATTTAAATTAAAGTCAATAAAACGCTGTGTAAATTTAAAAAAATGTATTTAAAATTGTATAAAAATAAATAATAAATTTTTGTGTGCATATTTTGACATTTTTATTGGTTAAATGCATATTTTATAATTTTTAGCGCATATTTTGATTGTATATTTCATAATTTTTTAATGCATTAATGCATGTATATTACAGTAGTTTTAAGTGCATAAACATTCAAGCTCTACTAATAATGTTAAAAAAAATGATAAAATTACTCTTTACAACAGTAATTTGATGATATAAATTGTTTCAGTAAGAAAATAGGTATGTTTGTAGAAATAGGAATAGTAGTAATTCCACTAATACCTAAAATATTTTAATTTATATTTGAACAAATACTAAATTAAGCTGCAGAGCCTATACAGAAACTGTTGACTAATATAAATGATAAAGAAAAAATATGTTTTGTTTTTTTATTTAATTGTTTTTAAAACTTTGGTTTCAAGAAAAAATCTTTAATAATAAACTATATTACATAACTTAAATGCCAAATAAATTATTATTTAATTAATAAAACTTAATATGATATTAATTTGTATAGATAAATAAATTAAATTTGATTTTGTGACTTTTTTTTAGATTTCATATTTCTTAAATAAAAAATAAAACTATATATATGATAGAAAATCAGAATTATATGGTTTATGTGGAAGTCATTTAGTCATATCCACATGTGTTGTCTTAGTCTTACCAACACATACCATACCAAAGTATACTTTCAGCAGTTCCAATTTTTGTGTGTTTAGCTTAAGTATTAGAGTAAAATGACCTATTATCAATTATCAAACTTAAAGGTAAGAATATTATCTATGCTCTCTCGTTGGTTTTTTATGGTATTTTAATTTTGAATTATGTGTATGTAAAGTATTATTATTTATAAATATTTAAAAATCGTTTAAAGATTTAAGTATTGTAAAAAACGACAAGAAAACATAGATTAGGGATGTAAGTATGTTTTTACCTTTAATTTTTACAACAGGCTAATTACTCTATTACTATTTAATATTACTAATACTTAATTTAGCAATACAAAATCAGAACTACTGAGTATAAGTTTTGGTATATTATGCATTAGCAATACGTAGACACTTCATCCGGTGCGACACAATTAACTGTTAAACAAATCTCTGATGAGTTGAAAATATTATGCTTTTTAAAATTAATAAATAATAAACCAAATTATCAATCTGCTGTAGTAATAACTTAAAAGTTATGTTATACAATCATGTGCAGCTATACAATTGTAAAATGACCTGTATACATTTTTATAATTTCATTCTATTATTAAGTAATAGGTACACTATTTTAATAACTAATGTAAGATTGTATGATTGTTTTATAATTAATTAACCATCAAAATTATGTCACTCGTTGTAGATTTAGATGGTTATCATACAATCATCATCTTTTTAATAAATGTTGAAAAACTTATGAAGAACCTTGTATTAACTTTTAAAATTTTAGATATACTCGTAAATAGAAAAATGTTTATAAATTTATAACTACAAAATAACTTGTGTTTTTCAAGTAATTTTACTCAAACATAAATTTTTTATTGATATTTATGAAAACAAATAAATAAATAATTAATACAAAATTATTTAATTAAACTATAAATATCGGTGTTAATTATTTTTTTATAATTTAAGAGCATATCCATGGGTATTTAAAACTTTTACGTATATTATATTACTGTTATACGTAATAACAATTTTGATTGTTTTCCGGTTTTTACAGAAAGATGTTACCTATTAGATTTTGAATTATATTTGCTGATATATACTATGATAATAATTAGATACCTACTAATAATATAGTAAATGCAAGAATTTTGGAAAAAATATATCAACCTACTATAATACTACAAATAAATTAAATTACTTTTATAGTTACAATAATAGAAATTCGTTTATCCGTCACTCGATTTATCATCGTTCTCTGTTATCCATCATCGGACTCTGTCGAAAAACAGTCTAAAAACCACCAACTAGCCACTCAGAAGCAGAAACAATGTTATAAAAATGTAATGATTGATTTGAAGTGCAAAAGGAGGCAAATGCAACACAGGTCTTACTTCGTAAATTACGATACATGTCCGCTCAAAAAGCTTGTGCCTCAAAAAAATTACATATTATATTATATTATTAGTATTTATTATGTAATACATATTATTTTTGTCTGCGAATCAAATAGTAAAATATATACGTTTATTGAAAAATTTCTGTAAACCGTCTATTCGATTAACCGTCCGTGTCGGGACTGGGAAAGTGACACTTAAACGAATTTCTATTATCATAAAAAAAAAAAAAACATATCACTTGGCGATGTAAACTCAGAGCCCAGAGGCCATTCCCATTCAGAATCAATTTTCATATCCAATGATCTATTATTGAATTCAAATTTAACGCATCCATAATTGATAATAGTGATCCACTGGGCACCTAATGTACAACAAAGCTGAGATCGGTATACCTGTTTGCTTATTTTTTTAAATCTTATATTAGGTATATTAAAATAGTTTACTAGCTGGTAAGGAAACGATTTATCGTAGCTGAAATAAGTTTCTCTACAAAACTACCAATACTTAGTATAACCTTTTGAACATATAAATATTGAAATCGATAACATAATTTGTTATTTTGGGGATTCAGCAAATAAAGTGAGTGACCCGATGTAAGATGTCGAAAAGTTAAATATTACCCTAATTTATACCTTTATCTATAGGCATAATGCTAAAAACTTTATATACCTATATATATATATATTTAAATTTAACAATAGATAAGTTCATTGTACCTAATATTAACTATAAAAAAGTTAAGTGGATATTCAGATCGAACAATTTTCTATCCTATATGTGTTTGTAAGACGGAAACAATGTACTTACAGGAGTGTAGCATCCTCTTAAATTAAAATATATTGAGGATACTAAATGGATTGTTTTTTTATATAAGCGTTTAAAAGTTAACAAATTATTAGCAAATTATTTAGTAAATAAAAATGTATAAAATGTTCAATTTAAATATCTATGGCTTAAAAATTAAAAACAAAGTTTCTTCATAAGCTTATTGAAAATTAAAGATGTAAAAATAATTAAACAATTTTTTTCATAGATATTTAAAGTTTAAATTTTGATGAAATCAAATATTTACCATAAAAACTATGAATAACAATGTTAATTAATCTAAGATATTCTCTATTTATATCATGTACATATTCATACCATTTTAGGGTATTGGTATTGACTTAAATATTTATAAAAATAATATAGTATAATGTTAATAAAAATATGTTTTACTTATTATAATAAATAATAATTAGAATCATTTGTCAATTGCCATACATGGTATCATACATTTGATATATTATATAATAAACAATCAATATATTGTGTCTTCTAACCCAGGCCTTTGCTTATTTTTATTGTTATATTTTTACTTCATGTTCATAAAGTCAAGAGTTGTTTCGGTTAATAATGTGGATAATAGGTAGGTACATTACATTATTATTATTACTACCTATTTACTACCACCTAAAAAATTTAAATTTTAAAATCAATACATTCATCGCTCTACTTAGAATTTAAAATGAAACTAAAGTAAACATATCACAACAT